ATACCGCAGGTCTCCATTGGACCCACCAGCCTGATGGCCATTCTCACGCTGCAATTCTGTGCGGATAAACCTGTGCAGGTGGTCATCGTGCTGGCATTTCTCGCGGGATTAGTGGAACTGGCCATGGGTGTCTTTCAGCTCGGATTTATAGTGAGCTTTATACCGGCTCCGGTGACCAAGGCATTTACCTCTGGCACTGCTGTGATTGTGGTGTTTGCGCAGATCAAAAATCTCTTGGGTGTTCGCGTGAAAGGATTCCCCTCGATCGGGGAGTTCTTTGGCAGCATTCGACCCTCGGATGCGGCCATGGGCATTTTCTGCTTGGTTGTGCTGCTGTCGTTGCGTGTAAGCTTTTGCAGAGAACATATTAATTAGTCCTTGGGGGAGTGTAATCTCTTGTTTCTCTGCCCCTGCAGCTCCTTTCCCAGGTGAAATTCAAGCAAGACTCACCGATGACACGGCGCCTGAAGAAGGTTCTGTGGTACATTAGCATCTCACGCAATGCTTTGGTTGTCTTCTTCACCGGCCTGCTGGTCTTCATTTGGGTAAAGAAGAGCTCCCTGGAAGCGGTGCCATTTGCCCTTTCCTCCAAGGTGTCCTCGGCCATGCCCTCGATCAAGCTGCCGCCCTTTGCCTTCGAGTACCAGAATCGTACCTACGTCTTCACGGACATCCTGCACGAGCTGGGCAGCGGCATCGTTGTGGTGCCCATTGTGGCAGTGCTGGCCAATGTGGCAATTGCCAAGGCTTTCGGTACGTATACGAAATGTCCACTGTCCAAATGTCCAACTTTTGGCTCACTCGATTGCTTTTTTGTGCAGTGAAGGATGGCAATCTGGATGCCTCGCAGGAGATGCTCACACTGGGCCTGTGCAACATTGCTGGCTCCTTTTTCAGCGCAATGCCCACGTGTGGAGCGTTCACCCGCTCGGCGGTGAGTCAGGCCTCAGGCGTACGCACACCCATGGCTGGCATCTACACGGGCTTGATTGTCCTTTCCGCTCTGAGCATTCTGACGCCGTACTTCCAGTACATACCCAAGGCTTCGCTGTCTGCTGTGCTCATTGCAGCGGTGATCTTTATGGTGGGCTATTTTCATTTGCTCAACTTTCCCCTCATTTATCAGTGACAAATATTTCCCCACAGATCGATCTGGCGCCCGTGAAGGAGCTGTGGCAGACCAACAAAAAGGATTTCTTCAGCTGGGTGGGCAGCTTCATCATCTGCCTGGTGGCCGGCGTGGAGTTGGGTCTGCTCTTTGGCATTGTCCTCAGCATGGTGTTCATTTTGCTGCGTTTGGGTAATCCCAAAATTGAGGTTTCCCTGAAACAGGTTAGCAAGAGTAGCTGAGAAAAAGGGTTTCCCTTTGGCTAAAGTTACTCTCTGTCCTTTGCAGGAGGAGTCCCTAACTTATGTGCATGTTGTGCCCCAGTCGGACATCTATTACACAGGCGTGGACACGCTGCGCGGCGAGTTGCGTGGCGCCTCTTCGCTCTACCGCCACGACTTTCCCGTGGTGCTGGACTGCAGTCGCTTCATGCAGTTCGATGCCACGTTCACAGAGATGCTGACAGCTGTCAGCAAGGAGATGGCCGAGAACGATGTGCTGCTGATACTGCAAAACATGAGCCTGAAGGTGCAGCAAATGCTGCCCGTGATTGGCAATGTACGCTTCTGCCAGGAGGACAGTCAGCTGATTAGTCATCTGCAGCAGGAGAAAGAGTCTGGGCAGCAGCTCGATGCGAAGCTCTGAGTGTTGGTTCCTATTATCTCAGTCAGTCAGTCAGTCAGTCAGTCAGTCAGCCAGCCTGTCAGTCTGTTTGTTTCGCTGTTTGTTTGCCTAGATGAATGTTCTGTGGAACTGTCATCGTTTGGGCGTTTGCATGTGACGGGCTAGCATTGCGCAATTGCTTCGCTAGTTAGCTCTTTAGATTAAGTTATTTAGTAAGCGGCTCTGTAAATACTTAATTGCATTATTAAATCAAATATATTGTATGCTGCTTTGTTGGCCTGCACAGATAATGAAGCCCACAAATGGGAGAGAGCTCACGTGTCGCAGGCTGCTATGAGTAATTGTTCTTTATGATTGTAGCAGCCGAAAACAATCTGAATGAAATTCAGTGATAATTACGAGTCATTAAGAGTCATTTCATCGTTTTTGTTTCTTTGAAATTGTTGTTTAATTATTATGTTTGTCTTTGTTTTTTTTTTGTTTTTTTCGCTTTTTTGTTTGTTCAATAAGGAAATTATAATTTATAGAAAAAGTATAATAATACAGTATAACAATTTAGTTGGTTGTTTTTTTCACGTTTTGTTTTTGGTTTTTGGTTTTTGGTTTTTGCTTGTTTCATAGTATTTATCCGCCATTATCCTCCGCTTTGTCTGTGTGTTGGGGGGTTGGGGATTTTTATTTATCTCTGGTATTCCAGTGTAACTAAATAAATTGTTGTGTGTATGGTAGGGTGATTATATAGTGTAGCTGTGTAATCTGTGTATATCTGTGCAGCCGTTGCATAGTCCCGCAGGACAGGCAGCCACTCCGGTGGTGCTGGTTGGGCTTGCTTCTGCTTAGCTTGTAATTGCTTGTCGCTTATCCCCTCTTCGGAAGTGTCTAAATAATACAATGGTATTTCTCTCTTTGATTGTTAAGTTATAAATTATTTACGTGGGGTACTGTTAACACTCCTCTTTGTTGCTCACATTTTTCAACATTTTCTTAGCTAACATTTGCGACTAGTTCTGATTCCGATTCCGATACTCATTCTCATATCTGCCATAAACTACAAACAATTTCAGCCAGTGTTTATCGTACAATGTACAGTGTCAACCTGCAGTGTGTGTGTGTGTGTGTGTGTCTGGGTGTATCTATGTAAAGTAATCCTTTGCTCACAAATTCATTGCCTTTCTCAAGCACAAGTTACATACAATGTCGTATGTACATGGGCAACACTGTATGCGCTTTCGCGCTCTTTAAATATTTTTTATATAATTTGTTTTCTTTTTTTGGTAACTTTTTGTTTCTTTAATATATGTCTTTTATTTTTTGTAATATATTTTTGTTGTAAAGCAAGAGGTACGCATGTATGTGTGTATATCTGTGTGTGTGTGTCTGTGAGAGTTGAAGCAATTGTTTGGAATATTAGGAAACAGTTTTACACTCTCTTCGAACAGGATAAAGCAAAGCCCTCGGAGAGACAAAAGAAAGAATAGGCAAAAAACTACTGGTAGCTATAGTTGGCTTGGAAACACTGTCCGCGTATGCATAATAGATAGGCAATAGGATAGGATTGCGTATACGCAAAGTGGCAGGTGGAGCAAGGGGTTGGGTTGAGAAAAGTAAAATGTTTTCTCTCTTCTTCTTTCTAGGGAGTTTGTGGAATTTCTTTACTGTGGTCTAGTGCTAAGTTCTTGTGCTTTGTTAAGTACTTTTTGTTATATTTATTATATGCCACCTGGGGGGGGGGGGCACATGCAATATGTAGGAGTAGATCTCTCTTGGTCTTTGGTTTGCTTTATGTTTACACTGATATTTATCGCTTATATGCTTCTATGGACATCAAAAACACTGTAAGAAATAGGGGGGGGAGGGCAATCGAAAGATGGTTAACGTCCATCACTGGAAAGTGTGGGAGCGCAGGCGTAGGGGGTAGAAGTTTTGTAGCTGAAACTGGAAGTAAATGGTCGCCCGAGTAGGAGGTGTGGCTTGAATGCGAATTTTGTATATAGTCTATGCGTATATATATGTATTTATGTATTGTATGTAAATATGTATGTATCAATATCATATTTATTCATTAGTTTTAATGTACTCGTATGTATATTTGTTCCTGCCTCTCTCTGCTGACATTGCATTGCACCCATTGCACTCCACGTGCGGTTGCTTGTTGCTCCTTCCTCTCTCTCTCTCTCTTTGATTTATAAACGTAATTTTAATGTTCTTTAGTTTTCAATATACTTTAAATATATACATATAATATATGTATCTATATGTTGGGTTTTCTTTTTTAGTTTAGTTTTACCTTATGTGTTTGCTTTTCTTTTCTTTTCTTTTCTCTTTTAATTTATTTATCATTTATTCTCGTTTTTGGGGTTTTTTGGATTTTCTTCTTTAATATTTATAAACTGGTCAGCAACAGTAGCAAATTTAACAATGTGCGTTAACAAATAATTGTAAATATAATGTATATATATATATTTATGTATTTTTCTCCGACTCTCCGCTTACCCATCCCCATCCCCATCCCCATCCCCATTTCCACTCCCATTCTCATCTGCATTTGTGTATTAAGTTTAAGTTGTTTATGTGTGTGTCTGTGTGTATTGATGTGTGTTATGGTTCTTCGAATCTCTGTTTTTGTTTCATAATTTTACAAGAATTCATTTTTTTGTCGGCTCTTTTTGGGATGCTGCTGCCGCTGCTGCTGTTGCCTGTCACTCATAATATTTCTATCAATTTAATTAATAAAAAATATTACCATTATGACTATTAGTTGCAGTTTATCCATATCATTTTTGTGTTTTTTTTTTGTTTATCATTATTAACAACAACAGCAACAACTTTCACATTAGCCCACTGTGGACCGGGGATTGGGTTTTCATTTTTTCAATATTTTTATTTTTATTTTGTATTTTATTTGATTTTCTTTGTTTTTTTTTGGTATCATTCTTAGCGTTTTTGTTTTTGGTTTTTCTCGTTTATATATTAGCTTAGTAATCGTAGTCATAATCAATAGCAATAATCATAACCATCCATAATCCATAATCCATAATCCATAATCATAGTAGTAATAATAGGTCTAATCTACGAATAATATAACAGGACCCTATGGAATGACCGGGGTTATTTGCCAAAGCCGAACCCAAATTTACCAAATAGATCTTTGCCTTTCGAGAGGACATCGCCGCCGGGCGCCGCCGCTGCAATGCCCTTGAGGCCGCCCAGAAGACCGCCGCCTTGCGCTTGCGGCGGTGGCTGGGCTTGCTGTGGCATTTGCTGTTGTTGTTGCTGTTGTTGCTGCTGCTGCGGTTGTTGCATGCCCTGCTGTTGCATGCCCTGCTGTTGCATGCCTTGTGGCATACCCTGTTGCATACCCTGTTGCATGCCCTGTTGCATGCCCTGTTGCATCCCGGGTTGTGCACCAAAGGCATTTGCTTGTTGCTGCGTTGGCTGCACACCGCCAGGTGGTTGCATTGGATCCGTTTTGGGCGGTTGCTTCGACCCAAATAGACCACCGGTGGCAGCCGAAGTAGCACCAGAGAGCAGGCTAGTCGCGCCGGAGAACAGGCCACCCGTTTGCGCCTGCGTCGTTACCGGCGGCTGTTGCGGTTGTTGCTGCTGCTGTCCTCCCATTCCCATTTGCGGGCCCATCTGTCCCATTCCGCCCATTTGCTGTTGTCCCATTTGCTGCTGTCCCATCTGCTGCTGTCCCATCTGCTGTTGCGGCTGTTGGCCCATTCCCATCATTCCAGGTTGTCCTCCCATTTGCTGTTGCTGTTGTTGTTGTTGCTGCGTCTGTTGCTGACCGTACGGCTGCTGCTGCTGCTGCTGCTGCTGTTGCTGTTGTTGCAGTCCAACATTACCAACGCGGCCGATCATCCCCTGCAAGTTGGCGATTAGCGAATATACCAAAGAGAACGAGAACGAGTTAGTCGAATGGCTCCAATCAGTGCTAAGTAATCTCTCATCAAAACGAATGGCAAACTAATTGTTCAAATATTTGTTCATATATATATTTGTTGTACGTATAGTTGATAGTAATTATGTGTTAAATTTTTGCTCAAAATATATTTTCATATAATTTTCTTTTGTTCTCTCAAGTGGCCATGGGATTTGGTTTGGTTAGTTTGGTTTTAGCAGTGAAAAAACAATCTAGGATATTTTGGGGGGTGTCGCTCGTCCACGAGCAGTAAGTAGTTGCAGAGTTACTTGAGATGGTTTGTTGTTTGATTTTTGTTGGTTATGTTAGTAATGGCAACTACATGCTTTAACTACTAAATTGGCAAAAAATGGCTACACTCAAGAACCGGCGGAACCGACAGCGAAACTGGAAGCAGAAGCACATCCAGTGGAACTTCTCGTAGATCCGATTGATCCCGACTTCAATCAAAACGAATACCAGTAGCAATTCGCCATGGTAAGGGCTCGACAGTTTTCCTTTAACTCTTTTGTTTGGTTTGGAAAAGTAACTCAAAAACTATGTAGAACTAGCAACGTTTCTTAATAGTTTTCAACGCAAACTGAAGTGGGGCCTAGGGCCAAAAGGTGAAACACAAAAAGTTGCATTACAAAACTAAAAACAAAACAAAAATACGTTTCGACAACAGATTTGCAACAATTAATTGTTTGTTTTTTTTGGTGGGCAGGAGACAAACTCTAGTCAAAAACAACAACTCTCGATGCTGGAGCCTGGTTTGGCACGGACTTTGCTACGTAATCGTAGTGGTTGTGGATCTAAAACGCTATTTTACGAGTATTTACACTACCTTGATGCGGCGTGAGAGACGATATGTGGGGGGATAAGTTGTTGTTGTGTATTTTGTGATCGATTGTGTCATATAATCATAATCCATCTATAGTTTCGAGTTTGACTGGTTCGATGAACAAAACCAAGTTAAAATATAAATTTAAATGCTTCATTTCCGTTTTCGTATCGCTGTTTTTTTTTCTTGTCTAAAACTGAAAGCAAAATGCAGTTCTAACAACTAAAAATGTACACAAAAATCATATGAGAGGTGGAGGAGGAGAGGGTTATAGTATGTTTATGTAGAGTGAAAAGCATAATTCAGGGTCACAACTTAGAAGGCAGAAGGCAGAACACAACTAAAACACCAGAGTTGACCAAACAAAAAACAAACTAAAAAATGAAATGAAAACAAAAAGGAAAACGTCAAAGAGTTACACATACAGTGAATCACATAGAAATTTGTACACATTACATCCAATATTCCAATAGTAGTAGTAGCAATTAATTAATATAATTAGTAGCGTTTACCAGTAAAGAAACTAAAATGTATTCATATATAGTTCGATATATATATGCGTATTTATGTATGTATATTTATGGGCGAGGGCGGGGTAATTCTTATCAGCAATAAGTTTTACTTGTGTGTTTGTGTTTGGTATCTGGTATCTGGTTTTTGAGCGTTACTTAGATAAGCTGTGTCTTTTTTTTTGTGCATATTTTTGGGGCATTTTATCTCAATTTGTGGGTTGTGGGAACTTGTTTTTGTTTGCTCTGGAAGACGTTTTGAATTAAGTACATTTGTGTTTCGGATTATCGTTCATAGAGTATGTATGTATATCATAGAGTATTCATGTGGTTGTGTATACATTAAGCAAAGGAAATCTCTATTTATCCCATTAATATACCAACAAACTAAACACTCAAATAAAAAGAAGTCAAAGTTGCCCGCAGTAGCTCTTAGCTTTTAGCCCATAAAGTTTATTAACATATAATATGGAAGAGCAGCAGTTGTGTTTGTTTTTAACTTAAGCCAAGAACCTTCTTAATGACCCTAATACTAGAAAAGAGTTAAAAGGCGGAAAGAATTTCCTTGGAATTCAAATATTTATATACACATTTACACAAATTAAAAGCTTAAGGAATGGACTCCCTCGGATGAGACAAAACAGAGGCGAACTTGCTCGTAGATGAAGAAATACAATAGTAAAAAAAAAAAACACCAGAGAAAGACAAAAGTAAGGGATTCCAAGTATTTTTTTTAATAATTCGACAATAATAATTTCTGCCCAAAAATTTAAACCATAACTTCCAAATGGTCACATGACACATGACTTTGAGAATCCTGAAACGGTCATGGATTCCCTTTAAATACATTCTAAAAGCCTCTAAAAGACGGCATAAAATAAGGAAAACTTATAACTAAACAAAATTGCATACCATAAGAAAAAGTAAAAAAATAACAACAAAACTAAGCGGGAAATTGATGTGAGAATGACTGTGGATTGGCTGTGGAAATTGTTTGCTGAAGCTCCTCCGAAACTCCCTTTATATACAGGCTATACACACAAGCACGATGTCTGGATTATCACACTAAGTATTCCTATCGAGTATATCGAATATATAGTATATGGTACACCAACATGAAGTGCGGCATTTGCAGGCTATATGTTAGTAGTAGTATGGATGCTCTCAACGATACGATCTTTACACACGGACGAGCCTGTTAGATGCTGATGCTGTATGCTTTGTTTCTTGTTGATTTTTTTGGGATGTTTTTGTTTATACTGGATGTTAACTACAAGATATACATGTTGCTAGCTATACATATGTACCATTAAATCGGTTGTTGATTGATATCGTTAAGTTAATTGGCATGTTCATGTACGAGTACTGTACTGTAAGCGTTTGACTTGTTGGGGCTGGGGTTCGAGAGAGTTACGTTATGGTACAGACACATATAGAGTTTATATAGACAGAGTACGATTAGGATAAGGATTAATAGTAGAAGTTAGTAGTGGATATGCGTACAATAGTTATAGACATAGAGAGAGAGAGAGACAGACAGAAAGAGGACGAAACAATGGACTATCGAATCGAGAGAATGAGAAGAGAATGAAGGAGAGACCAACACGACACTACTGGCGAGTGTGTGTGTGTGTGTGTGTGTGTGAGAGTGTGTGTGTGTGCACGAAAGCGATAGCAGTATGCCGGAGGGAAAGAGATGGATAACTACTCTGTTCTGTCAGTGTCAAAGACTGAGTTGTGGCAGGGAGAGTCTGGGTATGATGAATGATTTTTGGACCTTTGAACCGAAAATTAAATGAGTGACAGATACAGCAAGAGGTGGAGGAGAGATATAGCTAGAAGTTTACAGGTAATAGGTACAGGTACACAGGTATAGGTACAGGTATAGGCTGTAGTAAGTAGTTCTTGTTTGTGGCTTCTGTTGTAGTTGTTTTTGTTGTTGTTTGTAGTAATAATAATTATTTGCAAGTAGTAAGTAGAGGTTGTAGCGTTTTTGGGTACTTTGCGTATACATTTTTGGCGTATACGTAACACTCTTTTTTGTTGTTGTTAATTTTAGCAGTTAGTTGTTTTTTTTTTCTCGAAAAACAAACGAAAATATATTTGTATATCGTTGGTTTTCTTCATACTTTCGTTATAACGAATATATCGGAACAAAAAAAGGAAACAAAAGAGAGAAAAGAGTATTTACCTGCGCTTGGTGATCGGGGGCAGGATGGCCCGTGTTGTCTAACAGTGTAGGGGAAGCAGGGCGAGCATCTATAGCAACGAATATAACATAAAGACTTCACATTTACCACAGCAGACCATTACAAAAAATTATTCGAAAGAAGTTTGTAGTAGTCGAACGAAAGAGTTGGAAACCCAAACGTAAATCAAAACCAAAAATCGATAAAACCGTTAACCGAAAACCGAAAACCATAAACAAAACATGAATTTTATATCGAAATTTATGGAGTTTAGACGCGTTCAAATTTGGAGCTAAAAGTGGAGTAGTACTGGAGGAGGACTGCTGAAGCTGCCTGTTCGGGAACTGTGATAATATAGTAAATGTGGGTTGGAAGGATCCTATTCAGGATATCGTTTTTTTTGTTGGTCAATTCCTTATCGTGGGTTGGGTTTGGGTAAGTTAAAACTGAGTCTTGTTCTCTATAATTTCACCGCAGTTCGCACAAAAACAAAAATACCAATTGAAAACTCATAATGAAAGAGGGTAGAATCGAACTTAAAGTAACTTGAAAAACAGTTTAAAATGTTTCTTTTCACATCACTTTCAAATAAATAACGGGCATCATTCGGTTGAAATTTTGGAATTATTTGCGAAAAACGAGAGAAAGAGGCGCCAAATGGATTCAGATTGGTTCGAATTGGATAGCATTTGATTTGATTGTTATTTGATAGGTACACTTGTCCAGACATATGTATATGTAGATTAAAATTGTTTTAAATATTACCTTTCAGATCTAAGGATAGCGCTTGATATTTCTGAATGGTGGATGGTGGTATCGATATGATGGTTCTTTGGTTCTGTTAAGCATTTTGTTATGCACTTTACAAAGTTATTTTTCGGGGCGGGTAAGTATGGGTTATACATAGTAGTAGTAGTTGGACGGGTACTTAGTAGTATATTTTTGGTATATTTAGTATTTTGTGGGTATATTTTCGGGAAATAGTTAAGTTTAAAGTTTAAATTTAGTAGGCATGTATTTTACAAAAAGAGATTTACATTAGTTACAAAGAGACGACTGCGCTCGTATTTATTTGAAAATGGAAATTTTCGTAAATGGTTTTTGGTGCCCTTTTTGGTGGCCCTTTTTTTCTGATGCTGTTGTTGTTTTTGTTGTTATATCTTGAACAAAAGTATGAACGAATAGTAAATATATATATATATCGAAGAAGCTAATTCGCAAACAAACAAGACCAACATTCAGAAAAACCAGAAGGAAAACGTTTAACGAAAACAGAGAAAGAGAAAAAAGAAGCGAGAAAGGAAAATCGAAATTCAAAAATCAACGAGAGGAAAAACAACGCTAAAAGAATAGTTATCTTTTTATTTGAGAAGCAGATACGGAGATACTCGAGTGTACTCAAAGCACTCAACTCAACAATGTTGTATGTATTGTGGGATAAATTTGGGTTGGAGTGGAGTGGATCTTTGGGGGGTTATCCACCAGAGGATAACAATTCGGAATTGGTTTCAGAGATTGTTCCCTAGTCGGACTGTCGTGGTCTGTCAGAGATAGAGCGAGAGAGAGAGGCATTTACCAAGAGTATTTACAGATCATCTGCTTGGGGGGGGGGGGACGTTCTTCACACACAGAAGAGTACAGAGGCTGATTGGCTTTGGTTTATATATCTACGTCTCATTGGTGGGTGATCTACTGGTAGGCAATTCAAGTTCATTCGGCAATCAGGTGCAGGTAATTAGTATTGTTAATGCAAAAACACTCGGCCTTACTTGGTTCAACAAATAAAAACCCATAAACGAGTGAAAATAAGGCGAGAATATAATCTGTTTCAAACTGTTTGTTTTTAAAACAAAATACAATATTCAATTGACATGCAAAGACCAACTATAATTTTTGTACACGGCTAGAGAAAGGCACGCAATACACAGAGAGACGGGAGACCAGTTAAAAATAGGAAAGTAAAACAAAAAAATTGTTTTATAGACAAGAATAAGAAAAAGCTAGGTGAAAATATATATTTACAAAGTTTGATGTGATGAGAAATGATAATGAGGATGATCCTAACTATATTTTGGATACCGATAAATCCAATTGTTTGAGACAGATTTGTGATCTGTTCTGAATTTTATTATTTAAAATATATTTGGTACGAATTCTTAGACTTCTTTTTAATGGAATGGTTCAATGAGTGGATGCTTAGGATATATATATATATATATATATATTGTGTGTGTGTACAACAACAAGAACAACAACTATCTATTGTATATTTGTATTTGATTAGAATAATACATCACTTGTATCCAAATAAAACAAAAGGAAAAGGAAAAAACGTACAGAAAGAATCGAAAGGAAATATATAATGTAGAATATTGATATAGATATATTATATGGAATTGGATATATAATTGGATAATAATATCAAACTGATTGGTGCTGGAAATAATTGAATTTGTACATTAACCAAAATCGCATATTAATTCAATAATTCAAAAAGGAATGGGATAAAAATAGAGAGTTAGATAGAGAGAGAGAGAGAGAGAGTTGCACTTAGGAAGTTTCGCTCGGAATCATAATGGAAATTAAATTTTAGCGGCGTTCAAAAATCAGAATTTGTAACTGTTTTTATTCTATTTTTGTTGTTGTTTCTTTTTTTGCGATAGAGAGAGTCGGAGACAGAAATAGTTTTAGGTAGAGGGAGTGGAAAAGAGTGGAAAATATTCTCAGTGTTTGCTCGGCTGATCGTTTCTTTTGGGGAAGTTTTTGTTCGGAAATTCGGAAAACAAACAAACGAAGGAAGGGGAAGAAACCAAATAAGAAACTGAAAATCTTTTTTTGAAGTGGGGGAGTATCGGTATCAGAAATGGATTTGCTATAGTATTAAGTAGTAGTTGTAGTTGTGGTACATTATCCTGCTTGTGGAATTGGAATTATTGTTTTATGTAGTCTGGAAGAACCTGCATAACGTTGTTGTTATTTTCTTGTTATATTCATCTTATAAAGAGTGATTTCGAGATAAAAGTACATCATGTTTTATGTATTATTTTGTGATTTATTTTTTTGTACGAAAGGAAGAAGAAAAAAAGAAGCCAAAAACTTGGAAAATAAAATGGAAATCTCATGTAATTGAATTGGTTTCTCGATTTGATCACTTTGGATTGGATTGCATCTTTAATTCGTATTCAAACTCAAACGAAGAGAACGCAAAACACGAAGAAGGAAACGCAAGAAACACAAAACGGAAAATTAAAATGAAGAATTGTGACCACAAATAAATTGCGTAGATTATGGTTATTGGATCGTTATGTTCTGCACAAAGCCTACTTACTTTTACCTGGTTGACCACGCCCGGCCGCGCCAGGCATCATATTGTCCCGCGGCGGCGGCGGTGGTCCTCTCGCACCAGGTCCCTGGCCCCTGCCCCGCTGGCTGAGTCCGCCACGTCCGGCTGCACCGCCCGGACCCATCTGGTTGTTGTATTGGTCCGGCGCATCCGCCAGGAAATTTGACGGCACCAGGCCACGCACACCGTCCAGTTCGCCCATGTAGAAACCATCTTCATCCATCTCACCATACACCAATATGATCTCGCCCGTCTTAAAGCACAGTTCCACCTGCTGTAGATGGTAGAAGTCAGAGAAAAGGTCAACGAGATTAGCTCGGAATAATGTTAGAGGAGGAACAGTAGAAGGCAGCAGGAAAAGCACTCTTAGCAGTAAGTGATTGCGGGTCTATGGAGTTCCGGAGACACTCACTTCACAGGCCATGGGATCAATCAAGTCCTGGCGAAAGCCCGGCAAAAAGCTGCCCAACAGACCACCCATAAGACCACCGCTCGCACGGCTCTCCCTTCGCTAAGAAGAGACACAAAAACCAAAAAGAGTCCATGCAAAAATCACCCAAAAATACCCTTGAACCTACCTCGGCATCCACATTGGGACTCAACTCTTGGGGATCGTAGTCGTAGAGGGCAATCATGCGCTTCACCGGCATATTCGCATAGATGTCGCCCCAGCGATCGCGACTCACGTTGCGCATGCTCTGCTGTGGCACCACCTGGCCGGGCATCACCTGCGCCTGTCCACCGACAGCGCCAGCGCCCTGCATGGCGCCAGGCATTTGACCGCCGGCAGCCATCGATGCGGTTGTATCCTCCACCTCGGAGACCATATTGTGCGGCACATAGCCACGACGACCGGCCAGTTCGCCCCAATAGAAGCCATCGGAGTCCTTATCACCAAAGACCTAAATCCGGAACAGAGAGAGTAGCGAAAGATGGGGACAAACATGAGTACAGATCAGGCAGAGATTCTGGTTTGGGTTTGGGATGTGTAATCGCATGGAGATTATTGTGGATTAAAGTGTGTATTGTTGGGTGCATAACGCTAGCTTAACGATTATTTATGGAACTATTAGAACAGAGTTAGAGTTAGAGATAGAGAGAGAGAGAGAGAGAGAGAACAACGTCTACTTAGTGGGTAGAGTATTGATTACTGTATGGGTTGATAGATTGATAAATAGTTATTATTGGTAGAGGGTTAGGGGCTGTGGGGTAAACGGATAACAGTACGGATCGATCGAGTTCTCAAAGGAGTCTGAATGGGTCTAATGGTTCAGTGTGGCAGTGGGTCTGTGAGTTGGATGTCGAATGGTTATTGGTGGGGGCGAAGGAAAAACATGCACTGATCATTTAATTAGCGCAACAAGCAAGCGCAGCCAATATCAATATCAATATCGGATATCGAGATAGAGATCGAGATCGCATCCAATTGCATCCAATTTGCTGGCTGGTTCTTATATCTGGTTACCGTTTGCACCGACTGCTGTGGATCAGGATCACATCGAGCCGTCTGATCTGCGCGTGGATCTGCCTATCATTTGTCGGCAGCTGGAAAGTGTTTTGGTGGTTCTGTGTGCGTGTTGGAAGGGATCAGCGAGCTTACCTTGATCGTATCACCCTCTTGGAATGGCAGCTCTTCGTCGCAGCCATCGGGATTGGGACTCATGGTAGATGGATCGTAGTCGAACATGGCCACAAAGTAGCGGGGTTTCTTCTGCTGTTGCTGCTGCTGTTGTCCGGGCTGCTGCTGGCCACCAGGCTGGTGCTGGCCCTGTTGCTGTTGCTGCTGATTGAGGGGACCCCGTGGGCCCATCATTTGATTGGGCATTTGACCGGGCATCTGACCGGCCATCTGCCCTGGCATTTGGCCAGGCATTTGCCCTGGCATTTGGCCAGGCATTTGACCAGGCATCTGATTGGGCATTTGATTGTTCATCTGCCCTGGCATCTGTCCAGGCATCTGACCGGGCATCTGACCGGGCATCTGACCGGGCATCTGTCCAGGCATCTGCCCTGGCATCTGACCCTGCATCTGACCCTGCATTTGGCCAGGCATTTGACCCTGCATCTGGCCCTGCATTTGTCCTGGCATCTGTCCTTGCATTTGCTGTCCCTGCATGTTCATCTGCCCGGGCACTGGTCCTCGGAAGCGTGGCCCACCTCGGGGACCCTGTGGACCGTACTGTTGTTGCTGTTGGAGTTGCTGCTGCTGCTGTGGCCCCTGCGGTCTGCCTGGCACTGGCGCCATGCCACGCTGTGCACCTGCTGTCCCTGGCTGCTGGTATCCCTGCATTTATTCGATTCGTGTGCCCAAGGATCGTCGATCGGTTGCACGCGCATGAATTTGAATTAATTTAATTGAAATTTAAAATTTTGTTAGCATGTTTTGAGATTCTTTTGAGGTTGTTTTTAGCAGGTTCTTAATCTGTACTCTGTTTTTCTTTCATTCACATTGTCTTTAGAGAGGTTTTGTTTTCGGTTTTTAGTAGCAAAAGGTGGAGGCGTCTGCGTTTAGCTGTTTTTACTTTAAAGTTTTTAACTCTTTTTTTTGTTTTGTTTTGTTAGCCAACAACTAAGGAAGTACGAAAAGCTGAATGTGTGTGTGGGGGTATACATGTATGTATTATGTATATATGTGTGTCTGTGTGTGTGTATGTTACGATCTATATACGAACAACTGAAATTATAATCAATTATCTATAGAGCTGATAGTCGAGTACGAAGCTAGACGAGTACAGAGAGAGAGAGAGAGAGGAGTAAACAGGTTCAGAGGATGGCAGTAAGAAAGCGCACGGAATCGAGTTCGCAGTTATCTATGTGGGTTGGGTGGGAATGGATTACAGTTACAGTTACAGTTAGCAGTTGCAGTTGCAGTTACAGTAGCGGTAGCTGCGCCTGTATGTGTGTGTGTTTTACATGTCTATAGGTACTTGGATATAATTATTTATAAGTTGATTATCACAACACTGACTCTTCGACGCTTTGTACAAATGTTTCGATCTACAAAGTTCCATCTTTGCCATACATAATGCTATGCTGTATGCCTTGTCAGTCCGATCAATCGTGCAGAGGTTCATCTCCACTCTGTTTTTGGTACTTACAAGCCATCTAGCCGTTCGATTTTAAATTCTAAAACACTTCCCTAGAGGCACACAAAAAGATAAGTAACCGATAAGGAAATCTATAAGGAACACAAAACATAAAATCAAAATTCGAATACTCATTTTTTGGCTTTAATATACAGCCCCAATTATCCAGTTGTTTTTTTTTGGTTTTCGATTTGAAAGCGATTTCTAGGCTAAAGAATTAACTGACCAAAAAAAAAAAACGTTTTGTAGCGAACACTTAACATATTTGATTTTATGGCTAAATATTTTCTATAATTAAATTGTTTACGTTTACAATTACTGTTACTTACGTTCTAAAGTGTAAGTGGGTGAGTGTGTGTGTGTGTGTGTGTGTGTGTGTGTGTGTGTGTTTGGCAATATGTGAGAGATGTTGTGGGTATAACTTACATTCTGGTTCACTTGACTCTGTGTGGGTTTCGAGAAGAGGCCACCGAGCAGGCCACCTAATAAGCCGGAGCCTCCGTCAGGCTGTTCGTATATCGTGTATCGATCGTATCAGTTATTGGGTTTCATATAATGAAAATGAATATGTAACTTGTTTTGTTTAAAATTGTTCGTTGCATTGCGTTTTATCCTTAATAAAATTCGATCGGCATTATATCATCAAAGTATATCATTTGCGCTCAAATATTTACTTAGATTATAAAAAACTCTATTTGAAATCTGAATAACTCAACAATATTTGAAATATTGGGTTTGTTTTTGCTTATTAATTATCATTTATTGTCGCAATTTGAATTGCAATCAAATCCAAGACATGCTACAANAAAAAATAAAAAAAAAAAAAAAAAAAAAAAAAAAAAAAGAAAAAAAAAAAAAAAAACAAAAGGAGGGGGGGGGGGGGGGGGGGGGGGGGGGGGGGCAAAAAGAGATCTCTTCAAACCGAAACTTAAAAATGGAATCAATATAAAACTTTACATACATACAAGTTATTTTTTTTTTTGAGTTTTTGAGGGGTGTAGGTCTTTCGTTCAATTGGTTTTTTGGTTCTTATCACATAACAGAGGAACAGCGAGGACTTTGCTGGCAAAGGTCCTCCCAAGTAAGTATTTTGTTTGTGTGAATTTGGTGCGTTTGGTTACAGAATTTCTCTCAGTGTACGAGTATGTATGTATAAGGTAGAAGAAGTATATATAATGTGGTACATTTGCAAAACAAATCGACCGAAAGTAGTAGTAGAAAATAAAGGCAGTCCAAAAGTAGAACTCAGAAAACAGAGACTGACAGAGAGAGCGAGAGAAATGAAGAGAAAACACAGGGGAAACCTCTCCTCCAAGAGGTATATGATGTAGATGCAAATACTTAAAGGAAGAGTTTCAGTGTAAGGGTTGAAGGATTCAATCTGGGTTCTGATGGTGCAGGGGGAATGCAAGCAGTTGGTATGGCATTTCATTTGTTTGTCATTGAATGATTCGTTCTGGGCGAGTATACGTATATATAGAGTAGAGTATAGTATATATATATGACATCTACAAACTGTAGAGGTAGATCTTTATGGTATGTACATTCTTCAATGTTTTGTGTTGGCTTTAAAGTTTAGTTAGATATAATTGAATTTTGTATATTTTTCACTTGACAGCCAATTTGCATTGAAATGACCAAGACAACAAATAAAAACGGAAGTTCATAGAACATTATTTACAGTGTAGATAGTAGATACGGGGGTCTGCCGAGAGCAGCACTCCGCCGTACACTCACCTGGTGACCCGGCTGACCGGGCTGCTGTCCCTGCTGCATTCCCTGCTGCATTCCCTGCTGCATGCCCTGCTGCTGCTGCTGTTGCTGCTGCTGCTGCATGTGGTTGGGATCGTACTGTCCATGCTGATCTTGTTGCCCCATCATATGTGGCTGCTGCAGCTGCTGCTGCTGCCCGGGCATGCCACCCATTTGCTGCTGCATGCCGTGTGGCCCCTGCGGCAGCTGCGGACCCATGCCCATCTGATTTGGTCCCCGTCGAGCAACGGCATTGCGCACAGTGTCTGCAAAGGATTGGATTCATTTATAGATATGCTGAGACACTCCTTTCTGGCCTTTGCTCACTTGGTATCAATATGGGCGCACTGTCCGCCGACTGTGAGTCCCGTGACTTGGTGCGGATGGTCACGGCGCGCGGATTGAAGACGCCCAGCTTGCCAATGTCGATGAGGGCATGGTCGCCGGTGGGTGAATTGATGTCGGTGACCTTCTTACCATCGGCATACACAGCATAGCCGGTAACAGGCCCAGTTGCGGTGGGCCTGGCGACCGGCTGCCATGTCACCAGAATGGTGCCATCCTGTGGCCCAGCCTCGAGCTGAATCTCCTGCGGCGGATCGGGCAGTCCCTTGGTGAGGGTGCGGAAATCAGCATAGGCACCGGGTGCCTCCTCCTGTCCGGGCCTGCCCGGCGTCTGCTGTGGCGTCTGCTGCCCAACCGCGCGCAGATGCTTGGCCCGCACGGTCACCCGATATTGGGTGCTCGGCGCCAGACCAGTGATGGTGTGCCTATACATGCCCGGCTTGACGGTGCGCACCTCCACATTGTTCACACACACCACGTGCTGGTGGTTCGAATTGGCCGGCTGCCACGAGATGACCGCCGAGGAACACGTTATGTGCGAGGCGCGCACCGCCGAGGGGCCCAAATGTGATGTGTCCCGACCAATGATCATGGTGCAGGCGGCGTCCCGGGACGTCTGCCGATTCTGGGTCACGCTCCGCACGCTAATGCGATGCGGCTGTAAAGGGAAACAGCAGAATTAGAATGCGAATAAATGCTGAAGGATCCATCTGCTTACCCGTGTGGAGTCAACGCCCTCGATTAATGCCCGTGTGCGTTCATTGGCCTTCACAGAGACCTTTAGCACACGATCCACATAGACATGATAGCTCTCGATGAGATTGTAGCCCACTGGCTCCGGTGGTGACCAGCCAATGAGCACGCTCTTATTCAGCTGCCGTTCCAGCGTCAAGTGTTTGGGTGCTGGAACTGTGTGACACAAAAGGGAAGAGCATTAGAGGGATGCAGGATAAAGTTAAGTCGATTGCTAGCTGGGACTGCTACTGGTTGTCTACTGTTCCAAGGAGTTCCAAATAAATGCTCACATTCAGGCCCATGCAAAAGCGATGCATTCGCGATGGATCGCCACAAAAACCAAAGAGATTAAAAGATTCTTCATGCGTGAAGCTAACAGATTTAGTTACCATTATCGCTAATGTCATCCTGATCGTGCTCCAGATCGGTGTGCGTCTCACTCAAACGTGCCAAATCCTCGTGGGTGTGTGTGAGCAATGGATTGTGCGGCGGCAAGGAGGGCAGCGACGTTGTGTCGCATTGCATCGAACCATCCTCAGCATCGCGCAAAGTCGATAAAACCGCCTGATGGAATTCCAGTAAATCGTCGCCTGTTTTGCAACAAAATGTATGATTAAATATCCCAAACAAGAGAGAGTGTGGAGTGTCAAAACCTACCCACTAAACGCTGTACAAATGAGGCGGGCACTAGGCCGCGTCTTCCATCCAGTAGCTCCGCATCCAGATAGCCACCCTGCGGCTCACCGCTGGTCCACACCAGCAAATAGTCGCCGGTGCACAGTGACAGCTCGCCCTCAGCCTCTCTGCAAATCCAAATTGGATGATGGAAAATGAAACTAATGTCTTAGAGCTAATCAATTGGGTTTGCCGACAGATGTCGTAACCAAATCGAATCAGTTCGCAGCTGTTGCAAATTCTTCCGCTGATGTATTTACTCCCACTTTGGATCAGTCCATCATGAGGTCCCAACTGATTCTGATTGTTGTGCTGGGCCTTTTCGCCGTATCGGTAGCGACCTTTTTGCCAAAGTTTATCGAAGACACAATGCAGTTTTGGCTAGGAACAGACGAGTCTTCAGACTCATCGACAGTTGAGGAGAAATATGAGCCAAAGAGACCGGTGGAGCAAAAAAAACCAAAGGGGGGCAAAAAAGGGCCACATTCCGAGCGCTTTTCAGTCGACAAGCTCGCTAAAGAAATTGCGAGTAAAAAATCAATGGTGTGTTTCCTGCGCTTTCTGTCCAAGATGATCAAGAATGCAGTCTCATTCTCGGCGGACCTGGCCGTGTGCAGCTCAGGACCTCAGGCAAGATGCCTCAATTACCTGCGAGCCCTCTTCCAAGTGTGCTCTACCCGGGCCAAACCGATTGTGAAGTCCTGTACGGGCATCATCGTGGACCCAGTTGTCGATGTCAAGTACTGCCTCAAAGCGCTGGCCACCAAGACCAAGTCTCTGATTATTGCATTGAAGAAATTCCACCTTGCCTGGCAAAGTGAGGAGCGAAATACGACCCAATGTGTCACGGTGGCGTTTAAGAAAGTTTTCGGTGTTACAAACATTTTTGGTGTCTTCGATGGCTGCCTATTCAAGAATAAGGACAAGGGGCGAAAATATAAAAAAAAGGGAAAGAAGGAAGACACGGAAGAGCAGACGGAAGAGGAGCAAGAGGACGAGGACGAAGACGAAGACGAAGATGAAAACACGAATGCTAAAAAAATCACAATTCCCTGCATGCAGTAAAATACATTTGTAAATTCGATTCCCTCTAAAAATGATCTTTAAAGTGGATGTAAAATAAACCGAATTTCTTCTGTGGCATTCCAAAACAAATCAATTCAAGGTTTGAATTTATGGCTTATAGATAGCCATTTCACCATGAACTCGCACCTCATGCTGGCTGTTGTGCTGTGCACCATCAGCACCGCCTCATCGGCTGAGTTGGTAAGTGCAGGGCAAACAGAGATTCCCAGCTAATTCCCCGATTCTGTTTGCAGAAAAGCGATGAGGCACAAATAAGTTCTGCCAACAGGCTGTCGAGCCTGGCGATTTCCAAAAAAATGATACATTCGAGACACATGAAGTGTTTCCTGCACTGGATGGCGAGGCTTGTAAAGAACAAAGCCACATTGACAATTGCGTTGACGAGATGTACCAAAGGATATGGCAGTAAAGCGTGGCGAATTGTGACCAGCTTTTTATCGATTGTCACCATTGCCACTGTGCCTATTGTGTCAGCTTGTACGGGCATAATTGTCAATGCAGTTGTTGGGGGATTCATCTGCATCAAATCATTGACAACTAAGGGTTTACCATTAATCCAAGCACTGAAAAAGTTCCACGATGTGTGCTCCGGTGAGCCACGAAAAGCAACATCGTGCGCCAGAAAGTTGTTCAAGGATTTCTTTACATTTTCAAGTGTCTACACAGTCATCGATAGCTGCTTATATCCGACAAAGTTTATCGAAAGTTGTGAAATTAAGGAATTAAATGTGGCATAAATCGAATCAAACTGACCAAAATCAATTCGTTTATGGCTCGTTTATGCTTCGTTTCATTAATGGCCCTTGGAATCTCAGTTCAACATGAGGTTCCATCTCGTTCTTGTCTTTGTGCTTTGCTTTTCCATCACTAAATCGGTAAATATCAGAGATCTTTATTTGAGACAAAATATCTCATTTCCGCTCCTTTACAGTTGGTCGCTGGAAAGATCCTCTCAACCGTTGACCTTGCCAAAAAACTGACGAATGCAAATAGCTTGAAGTGTTTCTTGACTTGGCTGTCCAGGCTGGTCAATAACTCTGCCAAGATCACGCTGGAACTGGGTAAATGTGTCAAAAACCATGGCGAAAAATCGGTGCGAGTCCTGGATGCCTACAAGAATCTTCTCGTAGTGGCCGCACCTATCCTTTTGCGCTGTAAGAAGTTGATCGGAGGCATAACTGCTGGTGGGCCAGCTTGTTTGAAAGCCTTTGCTCTTAATTCATTCTCTTTGATTCGAGCATTGAACAATTTGGACAATGCAAGGAACAGCGAACCGCAGAGTAAAACTAAGTGCTCGAGGGATGCGTTAAAGGATTACTTTGGAAGCTCCAATCTCAACGAAATCTTCGATGGCTGCCTATAAACGAATGACAGGAAAACAGCCAACAACCTGAAAGGCAATCTTGCAGTACAAATCGATGATAAATCTGAATAAATCGAATTAAAGTGGCAAATTCCCTTGCATTCGTTCCAAAACAAATCCATTTGGGTATGTCTCTGGTTTAGAAACGCTTTCGTCGAAGACTGTAATGTCTGGTCTGTTCACCATGAAGACCCACCTCGTGCTGGCCGTCGTGCTCTGCTGCTTTTCGCTATCATGGGTAAAAAGTCTTTAACTAAAAAGATCCTAGCCTAATGCTTGAACCCTTGCAGTTGGCAGAGGGACAAGAAGTTAGCTCCTTGAGTATGACTCCTTTTGCCATTGCCATAAGATTGCTGAACCCCAGGAATCTACTGTGCTTTCATTTGTGGCTGGCCAAACTCGTCACAAAGGCACCCGTACTGACAATTCAGTTGTTTGCGTGCACCAAAGGATCTGCTGAAACGACATTGGGGCTCCCTGGATCCTTGAAACAAATGGTCACCATGGCCGCTCCCATTGTTTCGGCCTGTGCGAGCATTGTCTCAAATGTAGCAACTGGTGGCATCAATTGTGTCAGAGAAGTTGCAGCACGTGGCCTAGATCTAGTTACAGTGATGAAGCGCTTCCACCAAGCTCTTATCGGTATACCCCTAGAAACGGCACAATGCGTAAAGCAATCGTTTCAGACATTTTTCGGCGTTTCGAATCTCTTCGAAGTCATCGATGGCTGCTTATTCCCCCAAAAGTAAACCGCATTTTACAATAAATGGATGCCTTAGCCATTGAAAGGATAAATAAGATATGTGTAGATATATTTGCAGAACTTACTCGGGTGGATCGTACGGAAAGCGGGCTATGAACACGCAGCAGCGGCCCTTTCCAGGGATGTCCAGCATATCCACTTGCGGTTCGCTGGCTCCATTCAAGCCATGATTGCGTGCTGCTTAAATATACGAATTATAATCATGAGACACTCTCCTCTCCCATGGGACTTGAAGTACTTACTATCCAGATCCAGGGCACCCAAAGCCAGGCCGGCGCGATTGTGCATCATGCAGAGGCTCAGGCCATCTGCGAATTCGTCCAGGCCCCAATTGCTGGGCGGTATTGGGGAGCAGGGTGAGCTGCGGTTGCCGTATCGCGTCAATGGTATCTCGATCTCGTCCAGCATCTTCATTTTGGAGGCCTGACGCAGGGCGGCCGATGTGAACGGATACGAGGCGCTCGAGGCCACATCCATAAACGGTGGACCATACGAGCTGCCCAATCCACCGGCGGCACCCGCACTCAGGCCATACAGCGATGTGGCGCCCGTGATGCCACTGCCGCTTGGCCCAGCGCCCAGGCCGAGTCCGGCAGCACCCAGCAGGGCGCTGGTATCGAGCATGCTGAGATTGCCCATGGTGGGATGCGTCAGCGAGGAGCCGGCGGCACCAGCGCCACCGCCGCCCAGCCCCAATCCGGAGTAGCTGCTCGAGCCACCGGTCGGCAGGTTATGCGAGTTGAGTGACAGGAGGGGCATGGTTGTGCTCTGTAAATTGTACAGTTGTATTGTTCCGCGCTACTCAGATTCAGATTCAGTTTCAGATTCAATTTCAGTTTCAGTTTCAAATGTCAGTGTTTGGATTGCAGTTTTGGAATTTTGAGTTATTCGGTGGGTGTTGGTTGTGTTTTTGTTCGAATTTACAAGGCATTATTTTGGTTTGGTTTTTCGTTTTTCGTTTTTTGTGTGTTGTTTTGTTTGTTTGTTTTGTTGGATTATTGTACAGGTTTTAGGCATTATTTTATAAGGATATACAGACACGGCACGGGTTTGGTTTGGTTTTTGTTGTATGTACACGCACACACACATAGACACAGAGAGAGAGAGAGAGAGATTTACATAGATACAGATGCAGGCATACATATATGTAGAACAAATTGATTGACGTTTTGCGATCGAACCGCAGATGGCAGAGCCAAAGCACATGTTGGGGCAGTGGAGTAAAACACGTGGAGGGAGGTACACGTCGTGGAGCGAGTGTGTGAGCAAGAGAGCAGAGGGAAGACAAGAAACAAGAGAGGGAGAGAGAGAGAGAGAGAGAGAAAGAGAGCACATAAAACGGGATAAAGAGAGATCACAGAGAGATACACGTTTAATCGGCTGGAGAGAGATCAACGCAATTTTCTAGAAGAACATCATAAAAACGATGGGTAATGGGTATGGGTAATGGGTATTATACTTTGATCTGATCTGATGTGGGGTCATGAATGGTTTAACGAGTAGTACGAGAGAGTAGTTTGTCTGCTATGAACTGAAGCCGTTTCCAAGCATTATCTATTATGGTATGCACGGGTAAGCATAGCATCCAATGATCATCATCATCATCATCATCATCAAAAAACGTTAATCAACAACGAACGGGAGAAGCTTTCAAATGAAATTCTTATTTATATTATGGTTCATAGTTAGGTTTTAGTATGTGTGTATGTATGTATATAATGTGCATTTATATGTATGTATGTATGTATGTATGTACAAATGCATCGATTTACATATGTTCAATGAAGAAAAGTTGTGAAATGTTGGCACGAGTCTGTGTAGCAGAGTGCCAGGAAAGGGATCAAATCACATCTTTAAAATGCCTTCAAATAGTTTCTAATAATGTGTGAATGAGTGTGTTGGGTGAGTTGCATTTTCTAGCATGCCAGCAAAAGCTTAAATGGTTCAAAGGTCAACAAGTGCTAATGACTAAATGAAGTGAATGATCAATCTAAAAATGGAAGAAGAAATGGCAGATTTTCTGGGATTTCTGTTGTGACTGTACTTCCGAGTGATGTGTGTGTGTGCGCGTGGGTGTGTGTGGTGTATGTGTGAATGTACAAATGTATATTTTCATCACTAATGCAACTACAACAAAACTCAATTAATGAGATTTTTACACTGAGACAACGCAGACGAGACGTCACTTAGTGTCGATCGAAAGCTGCAGCCGATGAACGAGGATCAACGGATCCAAAAAACGAACGAACCAACAAATGAAAGCAGTTAAGGACTTAACTTATTATCGCTATGGGTACAAAGAATTAAATACATGTATTAACTATCATTTGTGTACGATTCGGTGATGTTCTAGTTATTATTGCAAGCCAAAATATGAACCAAATGCCGTGGCGATGCCCTAAAAAAAGCTCCAAAGCATTGATCAATCGGTTCGGGATATACGAATTTACAGATTTTTATATACGGTAGCATATTGGAAATTGCAGCTGTTGTACTTTTGGTAGTTGTTGTTGTTGTAGTTGGATGCATTGCGATTGAAAATAGTTGGTTTACCTGACTTAATGCCGTTGGCATAGCCTTCAACGTGTGAATATTTACCGGCAATGGTGGGATGCCAGTGAGTCCACTAGTACCGCTCAGCAGCTTCTCCACGGAACTCTGTCCGACACCACCGTAGGCGGCCGCATTCAGTGATTGTATGGCATGGCTGCTTAGACTCGAGGATATGCCGCTGATTGAGTTGGGCACCAGGGCCGATATGGATTGCAGGCCACTGCTCCCAGCTCCCGCACCAACGGCGGCTGCCATGCTCTGCGAGCCAACGCTGGCGCCGCTCAAACTGGTGCTGGCACCGTTAGGCAGCGTGGAGGCCAGCGAGTGGGGCAGACTCGAATAGCCGGAGGATAAAGCCGAGACGCAGCCGCTCGAGGTGCCGCCTAGTACGGCCCTTTTATAACGATTCAGTTCTTCTTCGAGTTCTGCAAAGCGAAATGGAATTAATTGGAATTAATTTGGTTGCGCATTTAAAGAGTACTCAACCCCAAGGGTTGGGGGCACTTACCACTCTTTGATATGGTTCTAAATTCGCTATTTACCGTGCTCAACATGGAACTGGGCGGCAATGCTGACATGCTGGCGCTGGCCGATGTTCGAGGCTGTTCCAGCTCGGCCAGCACACGGTTATCCTGTATAAAGCAAATAGAAATGTATATTAATTAGTTTTCAAGTGAAAGACACTCGGCACAAATCGAGGAACTCTAAAACTGCGCAATTGCGCATTTCACAGGCAGCGGCAGTAAAGCTAAGAGAGAGTCCGTTAGGCGAGCGTTGCCAGATGAGAGAGAGAGAGAGAGCGACTCTCAGAGAGCGCACAGCTAGAGATGACACTATTGGCAGGTAACAGGTAACACGACAGGAATGTGCGTGAGGTGAAATAAATGAAAGCCAAACTCAAATCTAAGTAGGTCTTTTCCTTTTCCCTTTCCCTTGCTTTTCTAACTGACTCCAACAATTATTTGGTTGGATCAAAGTAGACCATTCCATTGTTTCCCTTGAATGGCGATGCCTGGCGAGAACAGTTAACAAAACTAGAAAATAAATCAAACAAGTAACAGAGTTCAAGAATTCCAAATTCAACGTTAGCAATAAATCAAACTAGGACGTTTGCACAAGTAGCAATGGACTACGCCATGAAGTCTAAGGCTATGAGCAACCTCACCCAGGAGGCCAGCAATCTGGCGGATAGCTTTGGCGAACTGATCGTACAGATCGATGGGCTGCTGCACGAAGCCCATTTAGTGGATGCGGAAATTTTGGACTCGTGCAAGTATCGGGACGAGCAGCTTATTAAGCATCTGGCAGAGCACAGCAAGGACGAGACGCAGGCACTGGCGCTGCGCGAGAATATGGAACTGAAGGCCACTGTGGAGGAGTACCACAATAGCATACAGACGATCGTGGCCAAGTACAAGGAGCACTGCCAGGGCGACATGTTGCTGGAGAGCTACAACATTCGTGAGAAGTACATGGCGGGCCTTGAGCAGATTGTCAACGGGCAGGGATCGCGCATCGATCGCATGTCTGATGTGATGAAAGACCTGGCCCATATAAGCGACCTGGAGGGTGAGGAGAATCAGCAGCTGATTCGCCGCCTCTGTGGGGAGAACGAGATGATGCGCCGCCAGCTGCAGATCAGCCATGCCCGCTCAGTGTTCAGTCTAGGACCCAACGCGACCAACGAGAGCGCCACGCAATTCGATCGCAACGATTGGAATCCGGATGATTCCAGCATAGACAGCTTTCTGTCGTGTCTCTCCCATGGCGGCGACGAGAGCGATTCCTCCTCAAGCAACTCCTCGGTGATCAGTCAGGCGGAGGTGAATCGCTTCATACAGCAAGTGCTGGGCAAGGACATCACCGATGAGTCGGACTCGAGCAGCGAGCTCGAATAAATCATCCCAAATCACCCAACAAATGTTCACGAATTTTCATTGCCTTTTTGCGTTGAATAAAATGAGGATCTGAGATTGAGGGTTTCCTTTCGGTAGGGACCCAAACCCAAGCTACATTTGCTCTTTGTGGCTGCCCATTTACCTGCTCAATCTTTGCCATTATGATATCAATCTCCGAGCCTTGGTCCTGGTGACTGATTGTCGGTGCCCATGTGACGGTGGAACTGCTGGCCGATGTTGGAATGGCCGACCCAGACCCCGTCGCACCGCTGCCCATGTGCGAGGACTGTCCCATGTGCGAGGATTGGCCCGAACGCGCTGCCTTGGCCTTCAAGGCTGTCGTCAGCTCGATCTGCAGCTCCTCGCAGCGCACATTTTCCAGCGAAACCTAAAGGAATCAGTTATAGTCGTATGGGAGATCCTTAAGTCAGCCCGTTACTTGCCTTCTTTTCCAGTTCACGGGCTCTCGACTGTAGGTTCTCCACCGCCTCGGCATCGGGACGAGCGCTTCCGCTTAGATTGCGAATTTGTGCCAATGTTTCCTGCAGAATGGGAAGTTAATGAGTACAAGGGTCGTGTTTTGGGTGTTATAAGATAGTGACCCACCTGATGCGCCCGTTCGATCTCTGTGCGTCGCATTTCCGAGTCGCGCAGTTGTAGGCTGAGTGAGTCAAGCATGCCATTGGGAGCTGTGCCAGCGGCCACGGCAGCGGCCGCCGACTGATGGTGGTGCATCGACTCGTACGGCATGCTGTGGCTGCCCCTATGACGACTGCAATGCACAATGAAAACAAATGGCAAGGATTACTCTCCGTTTCTCTCTTTCTCTCTATCAATTATCCATAAATAATGGCTAGTCGGCGGGGGGCACTTGACTCCATTTAGTTATTATAAATAGCATTTTGTTGCATGGAATATTTTACTTATTTATCTACACGCCGTAGTCGTGTGGTGGAAATAGGTCAGCTGCTGCTGGGCGGCGGCAGTCAATAGGCGCCACGCCATGCCACGCACGTGTGTGTGGGTCGTGAACTTTGACCTTAAGGTTAATTGCCTAGCTGACCGGATTTATGGCGTATTATAGCCACGCACAAGCTCGAAGGCGTTGCCCCAGTCAGCACTAAATAGACTTGTTGAGATTTGCTCATTTGGATAGCCAGTCGCTGGCAGCTGTGGAATCTCTCAGAGCTGCTGGACACTGGGATTTATCTGGGAGCAAAGGGCATCGTACCATTACAGAAATTTCAATTGGAATGCTTCATCAAATGTTGAGCATAAAGGCTTCATTGATGAACGTTTTCTATGCAGATTTCAGAGGGTTTTCCGTGCTCCTTCTATCTGCTTATCAAAGACCCCCATATGAAACACATTCAGACAGTGCCAGGATGAGTCAAACAACACATTGAGCGTCAATTCCATTACTCATAGAGCGAACACTGAGCATACACTTGGAAAAAGTGCTCAGGGGTATTCCATTCCGATATCCACAGGTCGAGTGGCATTTTCTTCCTTTTTTTTTCAGTGTATTGTCGAGGAAAGACCTGAGCGCCAGTTGGTCTAGACGGCGGCAAGACCATAAGCATAGGAAGGATGTGAAAGTGTAGTTGAGAAATGTTTGTTTAATGGAACAAAAATGAAAGGTTCGTGTTATAAAGAAGAGTGCAATTTTGTGTGGAGAAATCTTTTAGTGCAGGATTTTGCAGTCAGGATGCGAGAGGATTAAAGTATTAATTTGATTGGGCAGATGAAAGCCCTGCTCTACGTGTCCTTTTAGTCAACGAAAAGTGCAGCAAAGTTTTCCGTAATGGAAACCTTAATGCAATCATTTAGGATACGGCCGCTGCATGCAGTGTGGGAGTAGGAGTGTGGAGCTGCTCGGATAAAGAGTTATTAATACATCGGGGCGGAGCTCAGATGCATCCACTCCTGTGTTCGCGCACATACACCTACAACTACACTTACACAGAGATACGCAGATATAGAGATACACTTTGGTTGGTTGGGGGGGGGGGGGCTGGCAGGCTGTCAATGGCGGTGTTTATGGGTAGCGATGGCTGGGACGGTGTGACATTTAAAAGCTATGACAACGTTTATCCTCTGCTGGCTGCTGGCTGATGCCTGATGCCTCCATCTTCTGTGTGGCTGTGGGTGCTGCTGCCCCGCCCTGTTGCTGCACGGTGGGCGTGCATGACACCATCCAGCCGATGCCGATGTTAAACGGAAGCCTTTTGCCATTTCGCAATACTTACGCCCCTTCCGGTGCGAACATCAAAGGGGAGCCAAAACCAAAACGAGAACCACCTGTCCTGTGCTGGTACGACATTGGCCCTGTTTGCTGGTGGCAGCAGCACTCATGTAATACTCGTAATATTACTTGCTGCCACTATTGGTAATCACAATCACTGTCATCAACTCATTAACTGGCAAGTCAGCCAGCAATCACTGTCACTCACTAATTGCCTGCTGCTGCTGCTGCTGCTGCTGCGGCTGCCTCCTCCGCAATCTCTGCTGACATTTCCCTCTGCATATTACACATGCACCAAATAAAAATACCCACTTCACTTCGACCTCAGCGCAGCCCGACTCGGAAGGAAATGCCCAGCCAGGTTCCACATTCGCACGGCCGGCCACTAGTTGCTGTTATGCAGGGGGATGGCATTCTTTTTGTTGCTGTTACTGGCTCTGTTACTGCGACCGCTGCTGTTAAGCGCGCGCGGCTCGCATGGGCGACAGGGACAACAGTCTGCAGTTGTGTGAGAGAGTCCGTTATATGGCTCAAAGGAGAGAGAGTGCGTGAGTAAATGTCCCTGCGGAGAGCACATACCTGCGCATGTGCACGGGACTGTTAACACGTAACAGCGTCACATTTACAGCATGTAAAGACTTGCATATGAACAGAAAAATGTAAGAGAACAGAATGTAAAGTGCTGCCTGGCTGTACAACTAGTGTTAAGAGCTTGGCCCATAGGATTTATATGTTGGAATACCCTTGAAGAGGGTATTGCCACTTTCAACAGAAGCCTACATTACCTTTTAAATATTTATGTACATTTCTGTTTATCGCTTACAGGATAGATCATTATTCAAGGCCATTTCGAGTGTATCCGCAACAGTCCTTTGCTTCCGCCTTAATTATGTCGAAGACATTTCACAATGGCTGTTGATGTGTGGGCGTAAAGACCTTTAGTGAAGCATGTGGGTGTATGCGTTATTTTTTTCCTCCTTGCTCTTTATTTTTATTGGTCTTTACTTTGTCCAGCAGCCTCAGCATCGGGCGCAGATTGCTATCGAGCCGCTGTCATTTCCTTGTTTGCCTTTAAACCCAAGAAAAAGCGGAAGAGCAACCAGGCCCCAGCTCCAGCACCAGCTCCAACCCCCCATCCCCAGTATCTGCTTTGTGCCGTGCCTGTCGGTGACTATTTTAAGCTCCTCACACTTTGCGGGTATGGTAGGGCGATGGTAGGGTCTTTGCTATAGCAGTGAAGCAGCAGTGCTTGGCACCATTTATCTCCCCAGAGTACAAGCACACACACCAACACACACACGCACACTAACAAAGCTACACTTGAAGAAATAGATGTAATTAAATGATAACAAATGATAATAATCGTCAAAAATTGCAGCTTTCTCAGACATTTTTCCACAAATCAATTACCAAATTGTAATAGCAAAATTTCGTTAAGTGTAGTTGCAGCCTACGCAATTACCGAGTTGTTTGCCAGCCTCCTTCATCATGGAATTGAAGCCTCCCGCCTAACAAACAATTAAACATTTAGTCAACAGCTGAGGACACCGCAGGCCACGAGACAGGCAGATGGATAGCGAGCCGGAGACCGAGCCGGAGACAGCGCCAGAGCCAGAGCACTGTTTCCGCATAGTAGAGCCATCAATGTCGGCCAGCAGCTTGAAATTTTAATGAGTTCTTAAAGTGCAGATTAGCCTATCCGTGGCCCAAGCCGAACCCCAACCCCAACCCCAACCCCTCCCGAAAACGAAACCGAAACCGAAACTAGGTTGCGGCATGGCCCGGCGCAGCCTTACACTCTATTAACCCACATTTTGGCCTCCGTTCTGTGGCCAGCGGTGCAGAATAAATGAAATGGAAAATTCTCATTCATTCTGTGCACTCGGAGGATACCTCAAATATCTTCATTTCCGCACAGGGCGCCGCGAATGCGCATTTCTATTTGCATTTGTCAGCGCAGCAAGAAACGGTGTAAATACTCGTAATTAAAACAATATTTGATACGTTTTTTATGGATAGGGAAGGGAAGAGGACAGCGAGCGAGCAAGCGGAACAGGTCCTACCAACTTTTGTTGGCCACAAACTACTGCAAACTAATTTAAAAAGTTTCCTTTGGTGTCGCTGCACGGTGCTGATAGTGCACACGGGGATATACCGCACTTGGGCAGATTTATGTAACAGTCTAACAATTAGATAACTTCGGGAACCACCAACTGGATATCGAAGACGACTAGTTCGTGGTTCAAAGATAAGATTCTCGATCGCAAAACTGTGTTACAAAGACTTGTAATAATTCACTAAATTGCTGTAGATATGCCTGAGTAGCGGGTATCCCCATAGTCGACTAGTATCTAGCTCGTTTTGGTTTCTTTGTTTTTCGGTTTTTTCTGGGGCCCCAAACTTTCATTTGGTGGCAAGTAACACTTCCTCCACTTTCGGTTATGTGTTGACAGACAAGTTTCCCCAAGAAATGCAATTAACTTGCAGCTGCCATCGACTACCTTGCCTTCCCTTTTTCTCCACGAATTTCACAGCCAACATTTGTCAGATAATTTGCACTCATTGAACATTTACCCAAATTACGTTTTACGTTGGTGGGTTGTTGGCTTCTTCAAAAACTATTTGCAGTGTGCTTGAAGCGTGCTAAATTAATTAAATTCTTCGAGCCTTGGAAAGCACATTACCGGTGAGGTTAAGTACCTCTAATGCCAGCAATTGACAGCAAAACTATTACCAGAACAATTCCATGCATAAATACGTGAAGAGAACGAACCTTCAAAGTCCTCAAAGAGAAACTTTTAAAAATAAGCCAAACAAGAAAGAAGAGCGGAAACTTTTTAAAGTCAAGCAATTACATTTGAGATGTGGGAAAAGTTCATTATCCTTCCGAGGGTTTGACCTCAATCACAGAGCCAAGGAGAAGCGCTGCCCAGGCTAGGAGAGCAGCGGAAGCGGAACAAGAACACGAACGCAAAAAACTATCAAGCCTATTTATAACAAACTATGTACACACACACACACACTCACACACAAGACTCATACACACATACATACGATGTACATACATATCTATGTATGTATGTAAGAGCCATTCATGGTGACAAAATCATAGCGCAGTTATGGGGCGAAAATTCGTGGGGCCAGAACCGGCACATGAATTATTGAATGATGGCCATATGTCAAATTTGGCCAAAGACAACGATTAATTCTTGTGGCCGAATTGAGAGTCTTTTAGAAGGCAGAAGTAGCCAGTCGTGCAAGTGATTCGGCTCTGCTGATCTGTAACATAAAGTCGAACAAATATGCAGATAATTCCCATGGATAAAGCAGAGGCCTCAAATCATCTAACAAATCCCCTCAAACTCTCTGAATGAAACTCCCATCGATTGATTTGGTTATTCCTGTCTTTTAACGCGTGACTTCTGATCGTTGCAGAGCAAAGCGACTCCATAAATATGTACAAACAAAATGCGTGTGAAACGACAAAAGACGTGGGCAAAATTAAACGTCAACGGAATTCAATCAAAAATAAATGTCATTGAATAGTGCGAGAGAGTGAGCGGGATAGAGAGACTGAGAGAACTGCCAGGGTGCCAGCGAGCAGGGCTGTTGTTGGAGCGCTGTTACTGTTATAGTATAATGTTTACAACTACACACACGCTAGCGTGAAACGGTAACCACCGCTGCTGCTGCTGCTTCTTCTGCTGCTCTTCGTGCTACGCTACCGCTGCAGCCACTCTACATCGTGCTCCTGTGACACTGCAGGCACTGCTTCTACTACTTCCCTGCCCTGCTTTACCCTCTTCCTTATGCTCCAGTTTCAGTTTCAGGGGCCATTTACATATCTAGTATTTTACCTACTTACCTCTATCTCTCCCTCTCACTCTCTCGCTATAAACTGCTCTAAAGCAGTGGGTTGCGAGGGGGCGAGTGTAGTGTAATGGGTGTGATTGTGTTTGTATTCGCGCCCAAATGCAGTTGATTTGATTTGTTAACCAATTAGAGTGCCTTCGCTTATGCACTCAACAGTAATTTGGCATTTTTGTATGCGAGTTTTCGTTTTCATTCAACGTTTCGATTACTCTCATTTGCATATCTGCACACCCGTACGTGTACATACACATGTGCATACTTGTGTACCGCGTGTATGTATGTTTGATGGGTTGCTTTTTCCCCTCATCGATATGCTCTTACACTTTTACTTTTCACTGCTACGACCCCCTTTAACGGGCGGGTGGACGGTACTGAACTGCGAATTTTGTATTGCACTTTTGTCACTTTTCATTTTCATTCGGGGAAAACTCTTTTGTCACTCGCGAACTTTTCTTTTTTTGCGTTTTTATGGGGCACACGAAAATGTTTCACGCAGCAGCAGGCGGCTGCTGCCCCTAAGCGCTGTTGGGCAAAAACATTTGGTGTAGAGCAAAATTTTCCGTGAGCAGCGTGCTCATGCTGCCTTTTTTTTTCCTTCCCGTACCCACCGTTTGGGGAGTCCAGTAGTCCCCAGTCCGGTGACTCGTATGGGGAAAAATGTTACACTTTTTGTATCGGATTTATCACTGGACTGGACTGGCGAGTTGGGCGGGGGCGGGTAGCAAACGAAACGGGACTTTGTACGGGATGCGAACCTTTTTTGCTGCTTCTGGTGCTTCTTCTTGCTCGCTGCTGGTGCTTTTTCAGGTCGCCTATGCCAAGTTTCCTCTTCCACGTTTCCTCTGGCGAATTCACATAAATGCATAGAGTTTACACTAGGCTACGAGTTGTACATAATATCGAAACTAAGCTACATATATCTATATGTATGTATATTAACAACTGCTTTGTCACAAAAAATTTCAATTTAATTCCATTTAGAAGCACAATTTTTTCGGATAGCAGTTGGGCTCTGTTCTGTTGGTGCGAAAACCGAAAAGTGGGTCATCTCGGTCGCGCTGCTCGGCTGGTTTGTACTCTGATTTCTGCCCGACTCGACTGCCTGCCCGGAGTGGCCCAGTGTGCACGGGGAATCGATTTTTCTGTCAAATGACACTGAAAAATGGGCAATTTTCTCCGCATTTGGCGTTGGCGCGAGCTCTCTCTCTCTCCATTGGGGTTGAAACTGTTAACGCTCTGCCATGTTAAGGCTAACAGTCAAAGCAAACACAAAACTTTGACACTGTTGTTAGCAGGTAGTAATGTTGGGATGAAAAAAATGATCATGGTGATGATGGGAATCGTTGTTTGAGTTTTCCTATAAAAAAATAATATTGTAAATAAATAGCTTTGACCTGTAGTTAATATTAAACAAAAGTTTCCTTTTTGAATATAAATACATTTATTTGTCGTTTTTTGTTTTGCTATTTCTACATTATGAGTTTTTTTTGTTTTATTTCCATCTTCGTCTCCTTTTGTTTTTGTATTCTCTTTTTCATATAACATTTTTTAAATAAAATAATTTTCGTTCATTATCCTGTGTGATAGTTGGCCCTAGCTGTGGCCCCCTACTGTCTTTCGCTACCGCATTTTCAAATCAAACATATCATTAAGTAAATGATTATTATTATTATTATGTATAGTTGTTCAATTTCAAACTCTAACAATTAAAAACAGTTAAAAATTCAAGGGTTATTCATACGTTTTTCCTGTGTCTTCTCATTTTGCACTAATTTTAAATTTATTCGTAGGCGCTGCTCTCCTAAACACAAAAACAAACGAACGTCTATAGTTTTTTGTGGTTGCTGTTGTTGTTTGTAAATACAAAAAAAGAATGAATTATTTACAATAAATTGTAAACGAGAAAAATAAACACATGCGCACACAGTCGCCGTCGTCGTCGTCGTCGTCATCTCCATTAAATAGTTTCTCTTTCTCAATCATAAATTACAATCAGTTTTTTTTAGCATAAGGTTTAGACTCCGATTAGTGGTTACATATACACATACACACATATATATGATGTACATTAGGCTTAACTAGATAGTTGCAACAACGAAATCGTTTAAACATTTAACTCGGGCTGTTTTTCGGGGTCTGTCGAAGGAGTGTTTATGTTTTGTTTTGTTTGTATATTTGTGTGCTGACTGGCATTTCCTATGCGCTTCTCGCTCTCGCGTTTTTATTTGATTTGTTTGTGTGTTAAATGGTTATTTAAACATAAATTTAAAATGCCACTAGGGTTTGTCGTAATTAAAAAAAAAACATTTAATTCTCTACTCGCATTTGCTCTTAACTGTCAGCATTATTTGATTCGTTTGCCGTATTAGAAAAAGTGCACTTATGAATACTGCATTCGGTCTGAAAATAAAAGAAAACATTGAAAGTTGATTAGTCTTGGCGTTGGTACACATATCCTTCATGCTTTTAACTATTCCGAATCGATTATCTAGCCCTAGGTCACCAGGAATGATTGCTCCACCCTGCCAATTTGTGGGTAATCGACGCAATTAGGGTTCGATTTTGCAATTTAAAGCAAGCGGAACGCAGGTGCGGAGACTCCGCCTATACTCCATTCCAGCAGCTGATAAACATAAACACCCGGAACGCCAATGGCATGACATCATTCTTACGCTTGGGCCCGAAACGATAAGAAACCAGATATGAGGCGATTTAAGAAACCGGCTATCAAAACCGTGGCCACATAAATGATAAACACACAGAGGAGTCTCTGTCACAGCAGCTGTGGCTGTGGACAACACTTACTGTCCTTCTTTGAAATACTCCTTCAGCGTTGTGCTGAACTTCTTGGAGTATTTGACAAACTCCTTCTTGCGCTGCTCCACAGCCTGCTTGCCCGTAACGCCCGGTATGAACGAGCCAATCTCGTTGACCACATCGAGCAATTTCTTTATGGCGCTGGCGATTTCCCTGCAAGGTACAAATGATTCACAATCAAAACAGTGTGACGAGAGATAGATAAGACGATAGATACTCACTTAATGGTCTCCAGAAAGGTCTTTCTGTCGTTAATCTCGTCGGGTATGCGACTGAGGATCACCTTGAGGGCCACTGACTTGCGGTTCAGCTCCTGGAAGGGCTCCTCGGTGCGTGTCAAGCGGTACTCATTAACTGCGATAAATTTAAACGTGAGAACAAAACACAAAAGGTGAATGCACACACACACACACACACACACACACATGAACATGCACACGGGCTGTAGGTATGGGTATGTGTATGCAAGTGGCAATGCAATTGTTCGCTTTTGTGGAACTTACGGTCTGCTTCTGTAATGTTGCCCTGCAATCGCAAGACGGCCTCATTCAGGTTGACATTTAGATCAGCACGTCGCACGATCGTCGCAACGAGGTCGTAGCAGAAGCCCGGATTGTTCTGCTCCGATTTCAGTATGGCCGAGCGCAGAGATTGAGCGGCGCCAACATCGCGTCGCTCCAGCTGCAAAATATGCAAGTTAAATACACGTTTATGCAACCTCAGTAAATCTGGCAGTACGCCCCCCAGTTTCCGTTGACTGGACGGGCATTCTTTGGCTTGACTAAATACCTGTGAGAAAATAGGCCGCAGTATAACGGGCAGAACGAGAGACGAAGTTGGCTCACGCTCGCCCATGGTCATTTCTATGTACTTCGTCTATTGCCTACGTCTACGTCCGATCTGGCTGCAACCTATTGCGTTGCTTTGGATGCTACTGCCTATGTCGACTGGCGCATGCTGCACTTTCTGTGAATGGGTTGGGTTGTCTCGGCACACGCACACTGCACTCGCACGACTTGTACAAATTAAATTATAAAATTAACAAAAATTGTTCACAACAAAATGGGCACAGTGTTGCCAACCGTGTGACCGCGGATTTGTCGATAGAATATACCGTCGGACCGTCAAGAACATACCAAAAAATACCAGGACGTTTTCGTAATCTACCGTAAATATGCCGATGACTATCATATTCCTCAATTTTGGTGTTCTAAATAATATTAAAAGATTTTGTGGACTTTTAGCTCTGAGTATATAACTTTTTCCGATTGTTGAATCAATTTCCTACAAGAGTTGTATATTTGCAAGACTTCTTTTGATAAGATTAACTTCAAGAGTCATATTGAATAGATTGATGATTTCGATTAGACACACCATTATTTACCAACATACCCCAAATATACCATGAACTCAACTTCGAAGTCAAAAAGTGTCTAATATACCGTCAACGGCTGCCAACAATGCACTCGAGAGTCCGAATATCGCACACAAACAGCTGATCGCTATCGGCTGATGTCCCACCGCTAGCGCTTTTTCTTTACTTTATCAACATAAATAAACAAAAGAATATATAATATATACACATGTCCATGTCAGGTCATGACATAAAACTGGAGGTATGCGTGGACTCGATTGCATCTGCATTTGCCGCCGAGTCTGGGGGAGCGTCGCGCATTGAGCTGTGTTCGGCGCTGGGCGAGGGCGGCCTCACACCGACCGTCGGCACGCTGAAGACCCTGAAGGACTCGTTTACGCTGCCAATCTTCTGCATGCTACGGCCCCGCCGTGGCACGGACTTCCTGTACAACGAGGAGGAGATGCAGGCCATTCTCACGGACATGGAGCTGTTGCGGGAGCACGGCGCCGACGGCTTTGTCTTTGGCGCGCTCAACCCAGACCGGACCATTGACGCCAACAAGTGCCGGCAAGTGATGCTGCAGTCGGGTGGCCTGCCCGTCACCTTTCACCGGGCCTTCGATCTCACCGACCAGAAGCGCATGCACGAGCATGTGGAGCTGCTGCGGGAGCTGGGCTTCAAGCGCATCCTGAGCAGCGGCTTTCGGCCATCGGCAGCTGAGGGAGCCGACTGTCTGGCCCAGTTGATTGCCAAACATCACAGGGACATCATCATAATGCCGGGCGCTGGCATTAAAGTGGCGAATCTAGAGGAGATCCTAACAGTCAGTCGGTGCCTGGAGTTCCACGCCTCCGCCATGGACACGGCCAGCGAGGACTACACAGCTCCCACCACGACCCGCATGGAGTGTGACGTGACAATGGGCAAGCAGGACATCGATCCCTACTACGGCACCAATGCGAATGTTGTGCGCAAAATGGTAACCATAGCCAATGCCATGAGTTGTCGCTGAGGATAGCAGGGAGAAGGAAGGAGCTGCCTAGCATTAAGTTTACTTTTTTATCCCCAGACTGACTGACAAATGTTGTGCATCGGTAACGTCAATATAAGAATTCCGGAATTGATAGAAACCTTGTGGAATCCATCGTCGCAGGCTTTTACACAAAATTCAAAACAAAAGAAAGATCAACAAAATTAAGGGAAAATTTTACTCAAATTTTAGTACCACCAGCGGACCAGCGCACCCTCGAAGCCAAAGCCAAAGTCATGAGTGAACATAAGCGAAGGAAGACAACAGCTGACGTGGGACACGGAAAGACTCCATTTGGACGGCAGGTGGACAGCATGCAGGACATGCTGAAGAGAGTCGAAATGTACGGCAACAAGCTGAATGCTGAAATTGTCAACATCAAGCGGCTGGTGAGGACCAATCAAAATGTTGTGGCCCAGCTGAAGGCCAACGAGCAGACTCTCAAGTCGCTGATGCGAGAGAAAAAGAAACAGAAACCTGAACCAGTTCGGGCTGAGCAAAGATCTTCGAAGCAGCTCGCGGAAGTGCGATCAAAATTGAATTCCATTTCCCAGGAGTTGGAACGCTTGCGCCCGCCCAGTTCGAGCAGTCGCGCAGTAGTGAAAAGCAGCCCACGTCGTGAGGCTTGCAAGGTAGCCAGCATCAAAGAAATATGCTCGGCACAATGCAAGCCCACGACGGAGGGCTGCTCACCACGAATGGAAGCGGGAACGGTCGGGTGCGCCACAGAGCTGCAAAGCGAAAGAGCAGCGCTGTTTAAAGCACTCAAAAGGGACTTGGCTGATCGACAGAGGGGTGGAGGTCGGGATCCTGTAGCGACGTTGACGACGGATTTTCGAAATGCCCAGCTGCAACGCCATCAAACGCTGATTGGAAGAGGTGAGCTTAGGTTTTTACCATGAATTGTATGACTGTTAAGCCTCTGCCTCGTCAGTCGAAAACATTTTGGAGAGCGTTGAGAATATGGACATGAAAACGGAGATCGTTTCGGATGTGAAGATTCTGTGCAACTTGGTGCGGAACGCTCTTATTCAGCGAAAGAAAAGTCTTCTCCAGATCGACTGCCAACAGCCGCGACGCAGCGAAAAGTTGAAGCAGGAAAATAATTTCCCCAGAGGCACATTCTCGAAAGTCTGTCAGACGGGCCACATAAATCCGTACATGTAGGAATATTTATATAGAAATAAAATACAAAATATATATCGCATCGATTCGATTGTTTGCTGCATTTGTTATCGATAACAAACATCTGGCGTAGCATACATTTTGGCGCTGCAAGCGCATGCGTGGATAATAATTGATTCATTTTCATTTCATTCTTTGTGTTGGGCCCCCCAGAATGGAACCCTTTGAAGCAGCACACATATAGTTCCAGACAGCCTCGTCTTGGATTGTCAATGTCAACAGTCGCTGGGCAAATAACATATGGAGACATTCAGCATGGACTTGGACTTGGATTTGGATGCGGCTGGCGCAAGTGGAGGAGCAGTCAGTGTCAGCCAATATGAGTTGTCCTACGGCGACCATATGGACACCTACAACGTTGAGGTAAGACGACACCTCCCTGTCTGTGTACCCAATCGAGTTTTTTATTTGTTCCTCCAGACCTCCGCTGTTCATCGTAAGTTGCAGAGCAAAGTGGAGGCCTTGAGAATACTGCGGCAGGAGTTGGAGCAATTTCGCGTGGAAAGGGATCAATATAAGCTCATGGCGGAGACCCTGCAGCTGCGCTACTCTGCCCTGAAGCGGCACAGCGAACTTGGGAGTGTGGCAGGAAATGGCTGTGGACCACTGAGCCAGAACTCCAGTCTTGCCGCGCTGCTGCACGAGACGCGAGAGCAGAATCTCAAGCTAAACACCGAAGTGGAGGGGCTGCGACAGCGGCTGAACGAGCTGCAGGGCGACATGGAGCTGCTGCGTGAGACGGAGGCCAGCAACAAGTCGCGGGTGCAGGCCATGGCCAGCGAGAATGCGGCACGCAACAAGGAGGAGCTGCAATGGCGACGCGAGCGAGCGAATTTCATTTGCCACCTGGAGAATCTGAAGAAGCGAAATGCACAGTTGGCGTTTGATTTCAAGGCGATCATCGACGAGAAGGAGGAACTCATCACAGAGCGCGATGCGTACAAGTGCAAGGCGCATCGCCTGAACCACGAACTGTTTGTGGCATTGAGGGCCAAGAAAACGCATCCCAAGCTGCTGGACATTGATGGCGTACTGCTGGAGAACAAGTACCTGCACGAGCGTGTCAAGATCCAGGAGGGTGAGCTGGAACTGACCAAACAGAGCGTTTCCAAGTACAAGGTAGGCAAGGAAGTCATCAAATCTGATCGTTTCTGATTCATTCTTTCTCTTTTGTGGCCCCTCCAGACCATGTTGGATGCGAAGCGCAAGAAAGGACTTGTCAAACTTGGCGGTGGCAGCAGCAGCACAAACGATGAGACCATTTTGAGCCCCAGGCAAGTCAAGACAATTCTGGAGAGCGGCATTGACTTGCCACAGAAAACGGAGACCATACATGACCTGAAATCCTTGTGCTTGGCGCTGCTCGATAACCTAAACGACAAGAACCTGGCGCTGACGCATCAGAAGAAGACCAACAAGTGAGCAGAGTCCTCAGCAGCCTAAACCCAATCAATTACTCTCCGATTTGTGTCCACAGAATACTCGCTGGCAAAATGACAGACTTGGAGCAACGCTGGCAGCAGCTGCTGGCCGGGGATAGTGCCGATGCCTCGCCGGACCAGGAGGATGATGAGGAGTATGGGTATGCGCCCTCGCAGCTGCTGCTCAATGGCTATTGCGCCGCTATGGTGGATGACATAGACATCAGCAGCATTCCGTCCACGGCTGCAGATAATGCGGGCGGCACACTGACTCCGGAGGAGCCGCAGGAGGAGAAAAACAAGCACAAGCCGAGCAGAATCGAGGCGCTGCACTCTGACGATGGCATGTCATCGCTCTCCACTGAGTCGGTGGACTCTTCCGTGTACGAAGTGGATGTGCAGCGTGAGGACTTCCATAAATCTTCCTCGGCCACCACAGACTCCGGCAATTGTGGCTTTGGCACTCGCAGCAATGGCACGCCGCGCATCTCCAGCGCTGTGGCAAGGGAGCGTATGGAGGATCTGAAGGATTTGCCACCGCACTTGGCCACCCTGGTGCAGAAGGCACTGCACGAGCTGGACCTGCGGGATTACGAGGCAATGGTCACGATACAAGCGGAACATGTGGCCACCATCCATTAATAGCAAAACACTAGTCCTATATTTCTATATATTTTGAAGCCGAAGAGAGGACTTTAATAGAACCATATCGTGAATGTTGACAAGATGCCGTTCTATTATGCAAATATGTAACAATAAAACATTAAAACAATTTGAAAAACTTCCTAAAAATGTTGTCTTTATCAACACTGCAGCATGTATTTTGTAAATGAGATTACGGTATATTTCGGTATATTATTGTAGGTCATATTTTAGCAATACGTCCGCGGTTACACTAGTGTCTTTATTTTATCACAAAAAACACGAATAAGCTAAATTTGATTTAATTTTAAGTTGTTTAATTACAATTTGGAGGCACGTGTGGATAGTTTTGCTTTGGTGGTTTGTGGTGGTCTGTGGTGCAACAGACAACAGCAGAATCAACCGCATCGCAAAAGCCGCTTCCCACGGGCGCCCCAACAAACTCTCCACAAAAAAACAGAAAACACAGAAAACTCACAAGAACTTGATTGGGCAAGGGGTACGATATATGCTTCAGCCGGTTCTTTGCATGCTCTAATAAACGTGAAACAAACATAAAACAGTGTACAAGTTGGGGGTCTCTGGCTTAACCAATGTGGCACTTCCAATGAAAAATCAATTACAAGTCGTTGGACGTTCTCAGTATTGGTTATTGGCAAGACGAGCCCACAGGCAGCTATAAGAGTTACATTACAATCGCATAGATACATAGATTAGCGCTTAAGCATGTCCGAGGATGCAGTGGCCATGGCGCAGCAGGAGCTGCCGGCTCCACCTGGCAGGAAGCGCGCCCGACTGGAGGATGAGGAGCAGGCGCTGAAGGTGGCCGGCTTCTCGCTGAGCGCCATCGAAGAGATGCGACAGACTCGTGATGCCGAGCTGCAGAGCGAGTCGATGGACCAGCAGTTGCGTCAGTTCCAGGTGCTCGACGAGATCGGCACTGCCAGCGATGAGGATGAGTCAGGTGAGTGTGAGGCAAATCAGGGGAGGGCGGCTGTAAATATCTTCAGCTGCCGGCAGGGCAGTGCAGGTCTTATCTCGCTCTCGATCTTCCCCGGAGCCGGTCCGAGCTGTTTATCATTGAGCAAATACAGGAGGCTGATAAAAAAGGCAAACTGTAACAAAAAATAAAAAGAAAAACGAGATTTAGATTTCTTTCGGAGGTGTACCGGGCAGGTGCAGTCGCCTTTCGCCGTCAGTCTCCTTGGGCCGATCTCATCATGCGCATGATACCCATTGTCCAGCTGGAGTGGCCCCCAAAGACAGGTACAGCCGGGCATTTAGAGAAAAAGTCCCAGAGAGTGTCTTAGAGCTGCCTACAGTCCCCCCGAAATGCAAATTATATAAATAATATTTGTCTTTCCTCTCACTGCCAGACGACAATAGCGAAAAGCTGAGGGGCGAGAATGGCGGCGAAGACGAAGAAGCTGGCGATGGCGAGGGAGAAGAATACGATTCCTCCGACTTTGATGACGACGAAATAGAGAATCTCCTCGATGAGAAGCTGCCCGAAGAATTGCGTGAGTCCAAGCGACCAAAGTACGAGCAGCGCTTCAAGACCGTAATGGAAGGTAAGTGAGCATCCGCTCAGAGTCCTTCGAGCAGACATTCCAAAGGGAGTTCATTACAGAAAAGCGTCACAATCACTTCGAGGTGCTGCCCGAGGGTTGGGTGCAGGTGACGCACAACAGCGGCATTCCGCTATTCCTGCACCGCAAGACGCGCGTCTGTTGCGCCTCTCGGCCGTATTTCCTAGGCACTGGAAGTGCCCGCAAGCACGCCGTGCCATTGGGTGCGATACCCTGCCTAAACTATCGTCGGGCGCTGGATGAGGAGGCTGAAGCAGAGGCTGAGGTAACGCAGCAAACCAAAGAGACAACCCCACCGGCAGGCGTTTGTCCCATGGCTGCTGCTGCTGCTGCTGACAAGGCCGCTGCAGAGGAACCCATGGCTGTGGAGGCTGAGGAGGCAGCCACCGAAGATGCGACCACAACCCAGCCAGAGGCGAAGGGCGATGCACAGCCGGAGACGCTGCCAGCTGTGATGCCAGCAGCAAAAATTGTCACCGTCAAGGAGAACACACAGACGGAGTCTGTGACGCCCGACCAACTGAATGCCTACTGCCAGAAGCTGTTCAAGTTCAAGGTGATCCGTGTGCTGCGCTTCCGCAGCTGGAATGCGCGCCGCAAATTCACCAAGAATCGGAAGCACATCAAAAACATCCAAAGACCCACATTGCCCGATGGCACGAAGCTCATCAAGTTCCCCATTCTGGCGGCCAGCGGCGAGGGCAACACCAATCCGCGTGCCCGCAAGGAGTGGATCATGAACCCGAACGGCAAGAGCTTTGTCTGCATCCTCCACGAGTATGTTCAGCACGCCCTGAAGACGCAGCCCACCTACGAGTTCAAGGAACTCCAGAACGCAGCGACGCCCTATTCGGCGATCGTTTCGGTGAACAATTTGAAGTATGGGACGGGCTATGGCACCAGCAAGAAGCAGGCCAAGTCGGAGGCGGCGCGAGAAACCCTCGAGATACTCATACCCGATGTCAAGGACAAGATAACGGGCAACAAGGACGCCAAGGGAGCCTCAGCCAAAAAGGGACAAAGCGATCTTTCAGTGAGTGCCACAAAATCAATCAGAAATATGTAAATTTACAATTGAAACTCTTTCAGGTATTCGATGACATTCGAATTGAGGATCCGCGGGTCACCGAATTCTGCAACAAGACGACAGAGCCGTCGCCCAATGCCATTCTCCTTACGTGCCTGCAACGGAATTACGGCAGCGATGTGCAGATCAGCCAGGAGATCAATCGAACGGCCAACAACAAGAACGAGTTCACCATGACCGTTGGCAAGCACACCGCCAAGGTGGTGTGCAAGAACAAGCGCGAGGGCAAGCAGCTGGCCTCACAGGCCATCCTGCAGGTGGGTATCCGCCGCTCACTAGTTCCGAATGTTTCCATTTTACATTCCCATACCATGCAGATACTGCATCCGCACATCCAAACCTGGGGCTCGCTGTTGCGTTTGTATGGCAACAATTCCATCAAGACGTTCAAGGAGAAGAAACTGGAGGAGCAGGAGATTACCGTGCTGCAGAGCAAGGCGGCCGTGAACCAGCCCAACTATGCCATTCTCGAGAAGCTCAAGACGGAGATGCTTAAGCTGTCCGCCAAGCAGGAGAGCGTCCTCACCATGGGCACGTTTGTGCCACCCAACGATGTCGATCTGCCCACATCCTCTGGCTCTAATCTGAACAATGTAGAATTATAGCATACGCCATCATCCTCTCTAAAGAGAACTGGTCTCTCACCCTCATGACAAGAGCTCACATCTACCAGTCTGCCAGATCTATAATTAATTTATCGACAATCGCGACATCCATTCTCTAGAGGCCCAACGAAGCAACTTTACTCGGCTTCAATCCAGACAGATATTTGATAATTTCGATTATGTACGTGTATAATTTATCTAGATTTGTCTGTTGTTTACATTGTAGTTTCAAGATCATAATAAAGTGTATTTCTATTAAGAGATCGTTGAAGAGGTGTGTGGTTAAGGCTGCTTAAAGGTGAATTCCGGTTTTCATACAAACGATCTGTTGTGAGACAAATCCTTCTTCTAAATCTATTGAATCTAAACCTTAATATTGCCCATTAAGGGTATCTGAAACTGCGACTCCATAACAGCTCATATTTCCAATCTTTTGCATCGTCTGCAAAATTTTAAAACTGTGAACATACCATTTGACCTTTAACCAATTTGGGGAAATGTTTCAAAAGGCCTTATAAAAATAAAAAAATGAAATATTTACATGACCATTAGAGGAGCGTATCGTCTGAGGGGTGGAAGGGGGTTGGCGGTATGGGGGGGGTTCAGGTGAGTTGATGTAAATATTTCAAATGTGTGTCTGTGTGCATCTATGTAGATATATGTATATGGGTCCACGTTTGTCCGTTTGTATGTATGGGTGCAATTATTTAAAAGACGATGCAGTCATAAATTATGCTACATTTTCATTTCATTCTAACGTTTTCCTTTTTATAGCATTCCAACGAGCGCACACACACACAGACGCACGCACAGAGAGAGAGAGAGTCCAAGCGAGTAAGAGTACAAGTGAGAGAGGGAAAGGAAGAGCTGCTTGGCATTTGGCAGCACTGGCATCCACGAGTTCCGTTAACTGCGCATTAAACATCGCGCACGGAGAGGAGACGCGAGAGAGAGAGAGAGAGACTGAAAACAGCAGCCATGCTGGAGATGGGAGATGAATGTTGATTTCCAACCTCACGGAGCAGAGCGGCGCGGCGCCACAATTGTACGGGCATACGGCTGGATACGCTGCGGGTATATCTGTATCTTAACTTCAGTACTGATTCGATGCGTGGCGAGTGCTAAAGTGTCTGCTCCGTGGTATGTCGAGCTTTGTGTCTGTGTGGCCCATCGTTTGCGATTTATAATTAAATCACTGTAACAGGACATCACACAAAAACCAGGCAGAGAACGAGAAAAAGTCCAAGCTTAAGCCCCCACCACCACCAAACTACAGTGCAGTGGCTGTCCACTTGGCTGCCAAAAGCAAAATCACTTTTATTGACATTCATCTTTGTCGCCTGTCGCCTGCCGCAGTGTTGCAGTGTCGGTGTCGGTTTCGGTGCCGTGCCGCTGTTCGTTGTGTCCCTATCGTGGCACCCGTCGTTGTTCCCTTTCCTGTTATCCTGTCCGTTCCCTCCGCGACGTGAAACCCTCCCTCCCGGTACATCGTGTGTCGCGTGCTGCAAGTGCGTGGGTTTAGCCAAATATCCGGATAAAGCGGTACACACACCGCGTGCGGAGAGAGAGAGAGAGAGAGAGAGCAGAGACACGCGTGTTGCTTTTGATTTTTCGGTTAACGGCACAAAAATTGGGTCTCGCTAAGAGTCGCACACACACACACACACACACACACACACACACACACACGACAAACGAAAAAAGAATAACGGGTACACATCTGCCAGGCAGCAAGGCAGGCAGCCAGCCAGCATCCTCGTGGAATCGGTGGAATCCTCGCTGCTGTTCCGTTACATGCATTTGTATTTGTGTGTGTGTGTGTGTGTGTGTAGCAGGGGGGAGCCGAATCGTGTTTAATGCATTTGGCCCCCTCTCGACCATCTCTTGGCCCTTGGCCTAAGCAATTCAGAAATATGTAAATTATGTAAAATTCGATTGGAATTTTTGTCAACGCGCACGCCGAACATCAACAGCCAACAACCAACAACCAACAACCACATGAACATCATTGCCAGCAGCAACAACAGAGAGAATAGCGAGAAGAAGAAGCAGAAGCAGGCAACAATAACGCGAAATAGCAGCAGCAGCAACAGAGAATAGAAGGAGCATCAAAACAAGCAGAGCAACAACAACAACGCAAAGAAGAGCAACAACAAGGCAAGGGAAGAGTAACTGTAATAGCAGGTAAGCGAACAAGCGAATGGGTACGAAAGGTAGCGGTACTGGAAACGGTACTGTGTACGGGGTATGGGCTACGGGCTATGGGCTATGGGTATGTGGAGCGGAGTGCATTAGGCGCCAAGTGTCAGGAAAAAGAGGAAGGAGAGTGTTGGAAAATTCAATAATCCGCCGCAGGGCGCCCAATTGCCTTACCCTCCTCCCATAGCCCCATCTGTGGGCCCCAAACACCACTCCACAGAATGTACATACATTTGTATGTACGGACTTATGTTGTATGTACTAAGAGCCTACAATGTATGCGCTTTGGCCTGGTCTACTCTGCTGTTGCAGTCTGTTGCGTCCCAAAATGTAGGTTGACTTTGGTCTGGTCGCCAGTCTGTTCAGGTTTTTGGTTTCCGCTTCTCTGTTGGTCGCTCTGTTGCTGTGTTCTTTTCGTGAATTGTCGCTCAATATCATCATCCATTTAGTTTCAGTTTCAGTCTCAATTATTGTCTCGATTTTCGTTGCCAGTTAATTTTCTGCAAAATGAAAGAACAACAAGCCCAATCATCAAAATGTTGACAAAAGTTTATTTATTTACTTGGCGGTCCTTTGAGTGGCCGCTTCAGCTTAAGACCTCCTTCTCCCCCAGCTCCTGCCTAGCCTGTGGCTACCCATCGCCACTCGTTAAACTGCTAAAAGTAGCCACCGGAATGGTCTTTGAAGTTTGAGACGCAAATCCAGGTAATACGGCCCTCGGGGTCCATCCCCCACGTACCCCAAAAAAAGAGGGGGAACCCTCGCAATGGAAACAAAAAAGTGTTTCTAGGAATCACACCCGTATTTGGGACCCTTCCTAATACGTTTCCTTTGTCTTTTCCGCTTCCCTTGATTTCGCTATTCATTCATCAATATTTTAAACAAAATATTTTCTTTTAAGTTTTCTTCAATTTTCGACTTTACCCGAAAGGTTCATTACGAATTTACACCCACTTGATGTCTCCAAATTTGATTAGCGCATTGTTTCTGTTTCTCAGACTTTCTTGATTGTTGTTTTAGGGATTCTTGCAAGAAAGTTCATTGACAGAAGTTTGTGTCTTGTAGCAGACATAATTAAATAAAGGTGTAGACATAGATTTCAGAGGTATTACACGATATATTTACGATTTTACAAGGCTTTTTTTTAGGTAGCTGAATCTTAGAAGCTGGAAAATCCTGGAATTACTGTAGGAATCTTTCCATTCTTTTGTAGAACAAGAATGTCCCCCAACAGCTACATTTTAAAGAGCGCACATCAAGTTTAATCGATTCGATTATTTATTAAATTGTATTCCCATTTTCATCAATCATTTTGCTTGATTTATGAAAATCCTAATCCAGTTTTTCTGCATGACATTTATGGCCACAATCTAAAAGTCAAATTGCCTAACAAAGAGCACGCAGGACTGCAACTTTGGAACTTTTGATAAATCAAACGAATTTTTGATTACAAGAAGACAGAGACAGACAGACATGTATGTAAATGTTTCTCTTTTTCGTATGTTATTTAAATTCCAGCACACATTTTGTGCCTAAACATAAGCTGCCAAAGATGCCAACGCAATTCCAACTCCAACCTCTGCTCAGGTTTTTCTTTTATTTTGTTGTTGTCTGATAATATGTACCGACACATTCCTTGAAAAGTTTGTTTTAATTAATATTCCGAAATGCAAAGCAGCAGAAGAAACCAGACAAACAAAACGAAATTATTTAAGTAAACGTGAAACTTGGCAACCAATCTGGAACCCCAAGAAGAAAGCCAGAGAGAGGGAGAGAGGGAGAGAGGGATGGGACTGAGGTGGACCCTTTTCCCCATACCTACCATTCACGGGCATAGGTTGCATAGGCAACGATGCTGGGTCTTGGGTGGCACCACAAGGTGTTCTTTGATGTCTGATAAGCAAATGCTCGGCAATGTGACACCTTCGGCTCAATGGATGACCGACCAGCAGTCCCAATCTGTCGCCGGGCTATCGGGCAGGGGAGCAGTACTTAATAATGCAAATACCCACAAAAACTTTTGTCTTCCATCAGACGGCATCGAGAATGGGATGGAAATTCCAAAAGATCGCTGGCGGAGGCGGAGGCGGAGGCGGGCGCTGGGCTGCGTTGGGGCTTATCAAATTCTTAGAATGGCTTTACACACAAATAGAAAAGTAATCCAGAAAAATGGCATTCGTTTTGTCGTTATTTTGTGGGGGTGCCTGCCTGTGCTGCGGTTGGCAGGCAGTCAGGCAATTTGGTTGGGTAACAAATTATCACTGGCCGGGAAAATCAATGAACATTAATCTTCGACGCGATGTTGTCTATATCCGCCACATTATTTGCATAGTTAATGGCCAAAAGGACCCGCCATGGAGGCGCACCCGACGGGCATTTAACTTTGCTTAAGATTCGATTTTAATTGGATTCACGGAGGAAGGCAATGACGTGGCCAGGTTATAGTTTTATTTTGGACAGTTATTGACAGATATTAGTCGCCTCTTCCCTTGATCACTGAGACGAGCTGAAGGGCGGTTGAGGCTTTCGTTTGTTTGCCACTTGGACACTGACAATCCGACAATGAATCTCCATGTCTGGCCGCAAGCAGACTCGAGCACTTGATTCGACTCAACGCTGTGGCACTCAAGCCGTTTGGAGTTTAAGCTGCTGCCAGACAGGACCCACCACCACCACCATCGTGTGGCATGTGGCAAGTGGCAAGTGGCAACAAAGAAGTATTAATGATGCTCAAAATCAAGCATTTGCATCGATGGGTAATTAACACACACACACTGAGAGTTGAGGTGCAGGTGTGTGCGTGTCCAGAGGTGGTACACTCGAGCAGGATATCCTCAAGCAGGAGCAGCAGCAGATTGTAGCCTTGTACAACAAGGCGTATACATAATGAATAAACGAGTTTTGTCCAAGGGCAAGGCAGGCAGACAGGGGGGCAGCATGACATGTGTGTTTGCCATTAAGCTTGAGGGGGGGGAAAATGAAATGAAATGATTCTGCTTATAGACCCAGGGGATGCTTCTTCCATTGATGGTTTTCCTTTTTGATTGGAAGCAGCCCCCCCAGCCACCGAATATCCTTTCACATATTGATATGTACCCCGCCCAGCCGTAGAAAGCAATCTCATCTGAGGGAACTTTATGCCATGAAATTAAAATTTAATTTCAATTAACTTATCACATCGTTTGGCAGCAAAAACCGACAGCCGACAGCCGACACCCGAAATCCCATCGCACTTAGCCGCCCCCTGCCCATTTGATGCCACGACAAACACCGGGGGGAGCCGACACCAATCCGGAATGTGTTCGGTGCCGAGTCGTGCCGTGGCTTACCCCGGCACATCAACACATTGAACTCTGAGGCTAATCTACCACAAAATACCTCCAAGGTGTGGGTGCCCCACGCTCCTGTCACCCTGCCAACGTGCCCCCTTCCTCTGCTGACTCTGCCACCTTGAAAATTTCATAATTAAACGTTGCCCAGCCTCGGCTTAGACTAGACCAGGCCAGACCGTGCCATAACACACCAGACTGCAGACCGTAGACTGGAGCAGCGGCAGACCAGCTCAGGCATAGCCTTGGGTGACATCTTCAAGAATTCTAATTAAATCATCCCAAGAACTTTTGAGGACTTTCAGTGTTGATTCATGTTCCATGTGGCAGCTGCCCCAAGTTTTCCCAGGAATCTCACTCTCTCTCTCTCTCTCTCTCTCTCTCTCTCTCTCTCTGAAAAAAAGGGGGAAAGAGCCAGCGGAGGAACATGAAAATTACAAAAAAAAAAAAAACCGAGAGAGAAATAAAAGAAGAAATGGCAAACTTTTATCAGATGCACAGCCAAAAGCTTTGCCCAAGAATTTCACTTGATTTCTATTTGCTGCTGTTGCCCCAATCCCCCTTCCAACCCACCCCCCCACTTGAAACGCCTACCGGTTCGTGTCTTATGCCGACTAATTTGTGGTGTTTGCTTTTGGTCTCTTCAGCTGCTCGAATGGGTGCCATTTTTGGCCGGGATTCCTGGCTTATGAGCTCGGGGGGAGCCATAGGTATCAGTATTTCATATCGCCACACCCACAGGCAACACCCACGCACCCGCACACTCAGACATGTATACAAGATTCATAGACTCATAAATCTTTGAGTATTGAAAAACCATTTTTGCCTATAAGCGAACTCAGGCCCAAAAAGTTTATCCAGCGTGCACGCAGCTTTCCGGCCAAGGGGTGAGGGGAGTGGGTGTGGGCATGGGTGTGGGCTGGAGGGTCACTGAAACATTTGCAAACTTTGCTTGAGGTGAAAGCAAACAACGTGACGTCAAAAAAAAAGAGGCACCCACCAGGCATCAGCAGCACTCCCGCAACGGAGGAGCACCACCAACATTGAATGTACAACATTGAATGCCAATTTAGTCCGAACTGCAAATGGTTGCAGGGGTTGAGTCCCCCAACCCCTTAACCGGGTGCCTGTCGGCCATTTTGGGTGCAAAATCCACCAAAATAATATTGTTCTACGGCCATGCCAGAGCACACACGTTGGACCTTGGTCAGAGGAGCTTTAACTTATAGCCAGCCACCGAATGTTTCCATATGCTACAAGCAGCACAAATACACACACACACACACACACAGCACACACACACACACAGCACACACACATATAGAATATCGTATATTCAACGAAGCGTTCGAAATGAGAGAGGGATATTCATGAAATGGAATAACTAATGACTTTATGCTAGAAGCGTGTTTTGTTAATTGCATTTGACTGGGGGAACGGAACAGCGCCAAGAGACCCCAAGCCAGGCGCAGCAGCAAAGCAGAGAGAGAGAGAGAGAGAGAGAGAGAGTGGGATAGAGGAGGGAAGCAGCGAGAGAGAGAGAGAGAAAGCTAGGGAGTAGCTTGAAACTAGCGATACCCTGGGCAGATCGATGGCAGCAGCAAATATCATCATGGGACGCCAAAGTTGAGGGAATTTTGAGTGGAATATCTACAA